CGCGCGGCCGGTGGGCGGCGAGCCGGGGGGCGCCGCGGCGCTGCTGCCCCTGCGCTCGGCGCCGCTCCTCATGGCCGGACCGGAGTGCGCGCCGCGGCCAGAGTCCGGGACATGGCCCGCCCGCCGGGCGAGGAGCAGGAGCTGGAGCGACTGGCAGCGCTCGCCTTGCGCCCCAGGCTCGGCGTTCGCGGGTCCCGGCCGCCCGGGCGGCTCCGCCGAACGCTAGCGCGCGGGGGCGGGGCCGGGGCGGGGCCGGCGGGAAGGAGTCGGGGCGGAGCGAGCGCAGGGGGCGGAGACGGGGCGGGGCCGGAGCGGGGTTCGGCGAGCGGCTACGGGTACCCGCCTCCCGCCTCAGTAGGGGCAGATGCAAAGCACGACGACGCGGCGGCAGAGCCAGGAGAGAAGGAGTGGGCCCCTTTGGCCTTTGTGAACAAAGGTGGCTTGCGGACTGCTGCCGCCCGACCCGAGGAAGCCTTAAACCTCATCCTGCGGTTCTGCCCTTGGCGAGACCACGCGCGGGACCCGGGATGGGGTGGCGGGAAACGGCTGTGCGGGGGCCGAGGCCGGGTCGGTGTCAGGACGCGCAGCCCCGCGGTCCCGGGTCCGGCGCCGATACCCCCATGCGGCTGCACCGCCGAGGGAGGGACGGAGGTGGCGGCGCGGAGTCGGGCCCGGTGCGCGAGCCCCTCTCCGGTCGGCCGGCCCAGAGCCTGACAGCGAGCGCGCGCGCACACGCACGCACGGGCGCGCCCGGGGTCACGGCGACGCTGGGCACACGCGCCTGCGCTCTCGGGGTACCCTTGGTTGGGTCTCCAGTCCGGCCCTCAGTGTAGTCCGCCCGGCACGGTTCCCGAGCGGAAACCCTTGGCGACGGTCCGCGCCTCAGGCCGCCCGGGGACCTTGTACAGCGTATGGGGGTGGGGGGTGTGGTCCGAGGCGCGATTTGACCTCGATGCGCCTCCCGACATTCGATTGGCCGGGAGGGACCTCGCGGATAAAGCGCTCTGCACAGCCAACGACCCAGGAGAAGACTCTCAGTACCGCCCAGCTCCCTGCGCCTAAGACTTTTTCACTGAAGAATTGTTTTGTTATGAGTTGTCTTAGACTTTTGGAAGCCTTTGCCTCCTTAGGTTCTGCCCGCAGAGCTGGCGGTTCCTTCCTACCCTAGGAAGTCCTGAAAGGGCCTTCCGCTGCCCCACCATGACAGAGGACCACCCACCCCTGCCCCGCCTTGACAGAAGACCACCCACCCGGCTTGGAGGCCAAGGCACCAGGCCCTGCGGGTCTCTCCCGCCACCGCCCGTCCCTCCGTGGACATCTTTCAGCCCCCCCGGGCTCTGTCCTGCCCTCGCAGCCCCTCACCTGGCTCGCCCCCCCCTCAAGTAGTGGCACTCAGTCTTGGCTGTTCCCGCTTCCCGTCCACTGCCCGAGGTAGAACTACGCTTGTCCCCGACCCCACCTTTGAAATTCGGTGGAGCCCCTTGACCACTGTGACCTGCTTGACCAATGAAATGTGGGCAGAGGTGAACTGTGTCATTTCTGAGCCACACTTCAGGAGCCAGTGTCCAGACTGGCCATACGTGCCCCCCTGGCCAAGAGGAGTCCCCATCACTTGGCGACCACCTTCCAACCAGCAGTGGATGCACAGAACAAGGGAGAAATCGGCCACTGCGGGAAGCCCTCGAGATTTGGGAGGTGTATTTACCGCAGCATAACCGGGCCGACTGCCACCTGCCGTGCATCCAGTCTTGAGTTAAACTCCAGGGAGGCGAGTTCCCTGGGCTCTGGGCTCCCAGGCTGGGCTCAGCCTCCTTATGCTGAGCTGCAGGCGCTCTCGGAACATGGCTCCCTCCTACCATTGCCCTCTCCCAGTCAGCATGTTGAAGGCACCCAGCTCAGCGCCGGCACAGAGGAGGGGCTCTGTAGGCATCCTTCCGGGGCAGCAGCGAGTGAAGGAATGTTTCTGAAGACGGTGGGGGGGGGGGGCACCGAGGCAGAGTGTCACCCCAGGCAGGCTGAGAGCAAGGGGTGCAGAGTGGGCAGGAGACAGAGCAAAGGCCAGGAGCTGCCTCACGGGAGAGCAGACCAGGCTGCCACACTCCACCGAGGGCCACTGTGAAGTTCTAGGGGCCTGGGAGGGACTTACCTGTGAACGGGGAGGGGGCAGTGAGGCCAGCAAAGTGTCCCTGTGCCCAGGGGTGCCCACAATGATCAGGAACTTCAGCAGGGTGAGGACAGGGGCTTCTCCATCCTGTGCCAGTGACAGGGGACTGTCAGTGACTCAGTAACCAGATAAACGTGTCCACGACACCCAGCACATGGGAGCGCCCACACAGGATCGTGGGCAGTGCGTGATCACAGGACTGCTGCAGCTGGGGCGGTCGGCAGGGGTCCGAGCAAGTGACCTTGTGAAGACCTGGGGCCCAGGAGCTGTGATGACACTGTCCCTGAGATTGAAATGAGAGTGTGTGCGAGGGCAGAAAGTGGCCAGTGTCTCTGGCGGACGGCGAGTGCCCACTTAGGGCATGTGCAGAACAGCAGGGGTCTGATTTGTATTCAAGGCTCAAGCCCTGAAACCCAAACACAAACGTGCGTCAACCCATAATTCATCCAAAAAGCCAAGCTTCCTGAGAGGGTGGGATCGTTGGCAGAGTCTCCAGTTTTCATGTGTACTTTGTCCAATAGCATCATTCTGAAATTAACATGCTGCCTGCACCTTTGTAAATAGTCCTGTTTTTAAACTCCCTTCAGATTGCCCAATTTGAATGTGCTGTTTCCTGCTGGGAAACATACCAGAACTGGCCCCAGGAAACAGGAAACAAGCTCAAATGGGATTCGGATCCTGAGTTGCTAACTTATGTGGGAAACCATGAGTCCCCTTCCCAGTAGGAAATGGAAAACCAGGTCATCCCTGGCTGCAGTGCCATCCGACTTAGCCCTGGTGGGACATGGGACAAAGTACATGTGGAAGCAAGGAGGTGGGGAGCCAGGTGCTGGGTGGCTGGGTGGCTTAGTGATGGTATTGATTCTCGGGGTCATGGGGCTGCCTGGCTTCCGATGACTCCAGAGAGCATGAATGGGGAGAGGAAAATGCTCAGTGGAGAAGAGGAGCCCCATGGCTGCTGGGAAGGAATCCTTCCTCTCCGTTGTCATGGTACCAGGACTGAAGCACAAACTCGCCGCTTAACTCCATGAGGCTCCTAGTGTGTCAGTTCCCAGGGCTGCTGTGACAAAGGACCACAGACTTATGGGTGAAAACAACAGAAGTGTGTTTTCTCCCCATTCTGGAGGCCAGAAGTCGGAAATCAAGGTGTCAGCAGGGGTGGTCCCTTCTGGAGGTCCTGAGACGTCTCTCCCAGCTTCTGGCGGCTCCAGGAAGTCCGTGGCATCGCTCGGCCTGCAGAGGCATCACCCCAAGCTCTGCCTCCATCATCACATCGTCTTTCCATCTGTGTGTTCTCCTTTATCAGGACATTTGTCATAGGATTTAGGACTCACCTTAACGCAGGATGATACCTTCTTGATTTCTTTAACTTAATTACCCTCTTTCCAAGTAAGGTCACATTCACAGGTTCTGGGTGGACATATCTTTTGGGGGGCCACCACTAAACCCACACTACAGTCCACCGTCTGGTCCCCCCAAATCTAAGCCTATTCCATGCGCAGAATACATTCACCGCATCCCAGCATCCCCAAAATCTCACCGTTAGAGCTTCAACTCTAAGTCCAAAATCTCATCTAAATATTATCAGCTCAGAAGTCCCAAGTCCCACCATTAAATCAGGTCTGGGTGAGACTCCAGGTATAAGCTACCCTACAAAACACCTCTTGTGACCATCCCACCTCACAGATGAAGGAAAGAAGGCCTGGGAGGCAAGTAGCTGCCCAAGTTCCCAGCTGGAGCGTGGGAACGGCTCTGTTGACATCCAAGAACGACCCCCAGGCTCAGGCTTGAGCAGGAATGGGTGTTAGGACTCCCCCCCGCCCCGCACCCAGGAGACAGGCAGCAGACGCTTGGTTCTGCGCCCGCCCCCACTGCAGCCCTTCTTTTGCTGTGTAGCAGGATGCAGACAAAGGGACGCACGCAAAATATAAACGTTCTGGGAACTCCCTGGCGGTCCAGTGGTTAGGACTATGAGCTTTCACTGCCGAGGGCCTGGGTTCAATCCCTGGTCAGGGAACTGAGGTCCCGCAAGCCACGCAGGGAGAAAAAAAAAAAAAAAAAAAAAAAAACCTTAAAAAAAGTACAAATGTTCTGAAGTGTAAGAATGAAATAGCCCTTAGCAGCCACCCAACTCACCAGCAACCCCGCCCTCTGCCCCGGCCTGGACCGAGACACCACCCGTCCTTGGACCTCCACTGCATTGGTTCCTGGGGCTCTGCTAACAAAACCTGCAGAGCAGGCAGTTAAATCACAGAAATTTATTTTCTCACGGTCTGAGGCTGGAAGTCTGACATCAAGGAGTCAGTAGGACTGGTTTCTCCTGAGGCCTCTCTCCTTGGCTTGCAGACAGTCGTCTTCTCCCTGTGTCCTCACGAGGTCATCCCTCTGTGTGTCTGTGTCCTAATTTCCTCTTCTTATAAAGACACCAGTCACACTGGATGAGGACCACTCAATGACCCCATTTAATATTACTCACCTCTTTAAAGACCCTATCTCCAAATAAGTCATATTCTGAGGTACTGGGGGTCAGGGATGGGATTTGAGGGACACAGTTCAGCCCATAACACCCACCAGGTGCACCCCATCTCCTGCTTCCCCCGGCTCATATTATGGGCCAACTCGTCTCTTGATTTTTGGTTTTAGAATCTTATCATTCACATTTGCAGCTTATCATTTAGTTTTGCTGGTATGAAAAGCATTTCATACTCTATGAAGTCTCCTGGAATTTGCTTTTTCTGTCAAAAGCTGTTTCTAAGATTCATTCTTGTTGTTGTGAGTAGCTATTGTTGGTTCATTTCATGACTTTCTCTTTCTTGGCCTTTGGGGTCCTTCCCAGGTTTTGCTAAAATGAGTGAGGCTGCTGTGAATGTCTCTGCCCACGTGTCCTGATGAGACTCCAGAGGGGAACGGTGGGGGTCACTGCACGTGGGGATCCAGCCCGACAGGAGAGCAGGCTGCTCTCCCAGACGCCCCAAGTTCCGGTGGACACCCTGACAGAAGAATGAGCTACGGGCATGAACACAGGTGTTCCCAGACTTCTTCATTTTTGCCAACTGAGCAAGGGTAAAACAGTATCTCATTTCAGATAAAACTGTATTTCCCTGCTAGCTGGTAAAGTGGAGCATCTTTTTATATCTTTATTGGCCATTTTTTTTTCTCTCCTGGGAGTTGTTCGTTCATATCTCTTGCCTATTAATCTAAATGTAACTATTGTCTTAAGCTTTTTAAAATTGAATTATAGGAGTTCTTTATGTATTCTGCATGTTAATCCTCATTGGATTATATATTGTGGATACTAATCTTTATTGGATATGAAAATTGCCAATAACCTCTCATTTGGGGCTCAACTTTTAATTTTCCTTATGGTATCTTTTAGATAAACAAGAGTACTTTTAATGTAGTGAATTTATCAACATCTGTTTTTATGGTTAGTGCTTTTATATCCTGTTTAAGAAATCCTTTCTTAGCCTAAGAATAAAATAAAATTCACCCATATTTTGTTCTAAGAACGTATATAGAATAAAGTCTAGTTTCGACATACAGCATACATGCAGAAAATATTCCTCACTCCCTTGTTTGTGGAAGGGTTGTTCTGAATGGCATCACCTGCCATGACCACAGCAGAAATCCAAAGTGATCATTTTACAACAAGGCGGGCCTTATGTTAAAATCAGTGTGAAAGTCTTCAGTGGCTCTTGTAGCTGACACTTCGGGTTGCCTGCTCAGCGACCAGTCACCCCTTTCCTCACTCCTATCAGTACCTCCATTTGTTTTCCGGTATCACGGTGGCTGTGCGATGTGTCAGTGTGTATAGGCTGAACTACTTCTCCAGAATCCTCTTTCCTGCAGCTTTCCTAACTCGGCCCCAAGGGGCACTGTGCATGAGATTTGGCGGGTAAGGGGGTGCAGTGAGGTAGCAGCTGTAATGATTTTATACTTGGACGGCCAGGGCAGGGGCCCAGGTGTGGCTGCAGCTCGCACACAATGTCCTTTCTCTGCCAGCTCACCTCACTGGTTGGGGGCAGGCGTGCAGCTAGTCTGTCTCCCCGAGTCTTTTAGCTTCTCCAACTCCTGGGCTGGGTGTGTGTGTAGTTCTGTGACCATCGGTGCCACATGATCCATCCATCCTCGTGGGTTCCAGCTTGGGCTCGCTGGTCCCCCCTTTACCTCCACCTTCCCTTCCTGAGTACCTGCCCTGCACACTTCAAGCTGCAGCATCAGGCGGAGGGCAGCAGCCTTCAGAGATTGTCCAACCAGCCTCCGCAATGGCAAAGGTCAAATCCCTTAATGACGTCATCCTCTAGTGGCTCGCCGCCTGACTGATAAGAGGTATGCAGACCCTTTACCTGAGTGCTTGAGAAGTGCGAGGAGGGGGGGGGGTCCAGACCCACAGAGAAATCCTGATTGGTCCGAGCCCTGTGGTGGTCTCATTTCCTTTCTGCTGATTGGTCTAGGTAGCCGAAGCGATTCCGGCCAGATCTCAGAGGCAGTTACTGGGGGCTTCCTTCTCCTCCCGGGTGATGGGCGTCCGAGTGACGACTGCAACCGGGACAGCCATCCTGTGACCCCCAAGAAGACGTAGGTCTGCCTGCTGCAGACGGGAAGGTATAAAACGGGAAGGACTTTCAAGTTCTTGACGCCAGATGGTCAACTTGAAATGCGAGCCTTCCCGTGGGTAACCTGCGGTCCCCCGAAGAGCCCACCGGCAGGTGCCCCGCCGCCCGCTCCGCAGAGGCGCGCGCTCGCGCATCACGACACTCCGGGCCTCGGCACACATGTCCCCTTCGTCCGGAACGCCCCACCTCTGTGTGTGTCACCGACTGCCCGGCAGAGGAGGTCGCGGGCGGCGCGCCAGCGCTGCGGCGCTGCGGCTCCGGGCGGACCGCTGGAGTCTGGATGAGTGCCACGTGCGCAGGCGCACCAGACGCCCCGCGCGCCCCGCGACTGCGCGCCTTCCGCCCGGCTTGGCGCCTGCGGGCCTCCGTAAGGCTGGGCGTCTCCATAGCGACCGCGTGGGGCCGGCAGCTTCCGCTGCTGGACTGCCGCCCTCGGCGCCTGGGTCGTGCGGGCGTCGGGTGGGCTGGCGGGCGCCGAGGGTGAGGCAGGGCTGCGGGCCCGGGGTCGGGGCCGGGGGCCCCTCGAGAGAGGCTGGGGCGCCGGGTGATGGGGGGCGAGGGGCGGGCCGGGAGCGGGGGCGCATCCCCAGAGGCTGGGGGCACCGCGGGCTTGCGGGGTGCGGAGCTGCGGGGCCTCGAGGGCGGCCCGGCGCGGTGGAGAAACCGGGGAGGGCGCCGGGACCCAGAGCCGCCTCCCCGACCCCACGGAGCCCGCTCCGCCCGCTTTTAGGCCCTGTGGTTTTGCTCTCGGTCCTGAGGCCTTCTTTCTGTTCAGAGGTTTGCGGGAGATTGAAGCCTCTCTCCCGCTAAAACACAGAAAAGGACCCCAGGGGAGGCCCAGGGTCTTCAGGGAGCGCCGGCAGCCTGCGGTGGGTTGGCCCCCGCCACTCGTTAATTGCTTGACCTTTGGGCGGTTCCTCGTGTTTCCCATCCCTAAAATGGAGGGAGGGAGACGCACACACGTTTCCCAGGTGTTGGCTATCGAGAGTTTTTTTTTGTTTTTTTAACATCTTTAGTGGGGTATAATTGCTTTACAATGGTGTGTTAGTTTCTGCTTCATAACAAAGTGAATCAGTTATACATATACATATGTTCCCATATCTCTTCCCTCTTGCTGTCGAGAGTTTTGTATCAATGAGCGAAGGCTTCTGAGCCCTGAAACATTCCAGTGTTGGTTGTTATTGCCGGATAAATCGGGAATTAAACACGGACGTGTGCCTCACCGAATGAGGTTCTGGTGAAATACAGTTCTTAAACTTTGTGTCGAGCAAAACTATTGTTGAACAAGTAAAATTCAAGGTTCTAGTTTGACCGGTTCCCACCCCCAGCCTAATCTGGGTGCTAGCCAGACCCAGCGCTGATCGCTGAGTCAAAGCGGTAACCTGAGCTGTCAGGATTCTCCGTGGAGCGGAACACTAATGGAAATGCCACAGAACCGCGGGGCAAATAAGAAAGTGCGAACTTAGGAACCCCACTGCATTTAGAGAAGGGATATATTAGCTTGTGCGCTTTGAAATCTTCTGACTTGTTTTCATCCCTAAAATAGCCATTGCATTTTCCAGGAATTAAAAGTCAAATCTTGGAACTCCACGGTGCAAAGGAGGAGCAGAACATTTTAATCTGAACCTTCTTGCAGTCCAGTTTGTTTTACAGAAGTCACGTTTATGATACTGATTATTAGAAACAATGGTCTTTGTAAGCAAACACAAATCCGCCATGAGCTAGACAGTGAGTGTGCCCGTGTACCTAGTTGTTGCTGCATCTCCCCTCCCTGTCTGCAGGTGACTCCAGACCCGGGAGGATGAGCGGTGGTCCCCGGAGGATTGCTTCCTCCTGGCTGACGGATGGAGGGAAGCAGCTCCTGCTAGGCTGCCTGTGGGGCTGCTGATCCCGGAGAGCGGCGCTGGGCAGGCTAGGAGCAAACCTGCGTCCCCCTCCAGGGAGGCTCACGAGGGTGTCAAGGGGGTCATCCTCTCTTCATCAGTTTTAGACTTGAGTCACAGTGGTCTTCACCATTTAGGAGCGATCTTTAAAGTTCCCAACCTCAGAGTGAGTGGGGCACCTCTGGGGCATGGTACGTATGTGCGACATAGCTGTGATTGAAGGCTCTTCTTACGTGCAGTTTTCTTTTAGAGAGAAATTCGAGAATGAGATAGAGGAGGGTTAACTTGGGGTTTTGTGTGCTGCTCTGATGTCCTCTGATGTCACAGATGATGAAGACTCTGATGTCCTCTCCTGGGTTTGGGGGGCGACTTGCCGAAAACACCCTTGGCCTCTTAATCAAAACACAACACCCCTAAAATAAGTGCAGTAAAAACTGTCACCCACAGCTTTGCAGATGTCACAGGCTTGACTCTACCTGGTGCCTCTGGTGCCTTCACCAGGTCCGGCCCTTGCCTGCTTAAGATCTAGTGGGTCTGTCTCCTCCCGCGATTTATAGAACAAGGTTCCATCACACAGCCTTGAGGGGAGACGGGCAGGGGCCCTCACCAGCTGTTCTGTCACTGCCCAGCAGTCACGTAATTTCCTTAAACCTCATCATGTCCTCACCTGGAAGATGGGAATGAGAATCTATTTATGGGTTATTAGGGGAATTAAATGATAAGCATATAAGGCACAGTGTCCTCAGCATGGTACACACAGCCACGCATTGCACTGTTACCCTGTTGATTGACGGTTTTGAGTGCTTTTACAAAAGCCGTGTACTTAGATTTTAAGTAGCTACTTAGTTTATTAACCCCGTTTGTGTCGCACGCCCTGTTTTTCCCGTCAGGCAAGCACTGGTCTTGGGGTCTCTCTTCTTAGCACTGACCTCCATGAGTGATTACTGGTCATCCTCTAAGGCACCACTTTTAATGAAGCAAATGCTCTCAGCTCTGAACAAGGAACCCAACAGTGTCATGCATAAAGAAAGAAGGAGGACATTCCAGGCCTTCTTCAGGCTTAATGAAGAAACTTTGTTTATGCTTCTCAGAAAACAGAGACGTCAATATACATTTTACTACCATGGCAACAAATCACTGAGTGAGGTGGCCACGCAGAGTGGTGGACTTTTAGGGGTTACGGGTGCATTTTGCAGCCATAGCAACACTCTCTGGAGCCACCATTATCACTTCCAGAGACCCTTATGATCAGGGAACACTGACCCCCATCTTCACACGGCCTCACAGAACCGAGGAGGGAGGACGGGCTCGTGTGATGCAGTCAGGCCGGCCCCTGTGGGGCGATGGCAAATGCTAGCTTGTCTCTCTGAGATTTCCTTTTCTGGTGTTTACCAGGATCTGCGGCTTCAGCGCTGGGGCTGAGAGAGCAAGAGCCTGAAGCTGACCTGGCGGCCAGGCCAAGAGTGTCCCGGCGCGAAGGCGTCCCCACACTGTGTCCAGTCGCCACTCACTCCCCAGAGGCTGCGCCCGCCGCCAACAGCAAGCGACGGTGCCGCATCTTAGCTGCTCAGGGATTGTGTTCTCAGCATATTTGTGGAGTGTGGTTTCCAGCCGGTGTCTCTCAAGTTTCTGCCTTAAACTTGAAGGGACTTGGAAGGTGGTCTTGGCAGCAGAGTTGGGAGCTGAGAAACTGGTGGAAAAGGAGCGGCCTGCAGGCGCCACGTGCTGTGCTCCGCGGGCTTTAATAGAGCAGCGCAGTCGTGACGACCGGTGCTTCCCTGCACCCCTGTGTGCCAGGCGCTGCTCACTTGCTGCACCCGGAACAGGCCAGGCCTCTGGAGCACAGAGAGTTCGGGAACTCGCTCTAGGTCACACAGCTCATAGATTTTCAAAACCTAGATTTGAACCCAGGCAGCTTGGCTTCCAGACCAGTGCCCTTAACGCCTACACTCTGCTGCCCTGGTAAATAGAGACACGTAAATACGTACGTGTGTATAGTATACGTGATCATGTAAATCTATGCAGCGTGTATCAACAGCATTAGAGAAGGGATGTCTGTCACCCACAGTCCTGCCGCACTGTGACTGTAAAATCGTACTTGCACGTATCGCGGGGGGAGGGTCAGTGTGCGTGTGCCCTGTCCTCCCCCCTTCGTACTGTCCTGTCTTATTTACGATCCGACCTGAGGGCCCACCGCGTGACGTATCAGACTTCCTGACGTGATGGTTACTGGCTGTTTCTGTGCGGCCGTTGCTACCACAGAGGACGCCAGAGCTAACGCAGCGTGTGTGTTCTTTGGTTTCCTTTTCTGTGTCTCCTTGCATGAGAACCAAGGCCCGGGCGTGGCTCCTGCCCTCGTTCTCTGGGCAGCGTGGGCCCGGGAGGGAGAATAGGATTCAGATGCCCTTGGGGATGAAGTTGGATGTTAAAGGATAGTTGATGGGAGAGGTGTGATGTGTGCAGTGGTGGCGTCTGAACTGCCAGCCGGGCGAGACGCAGCATCTCCAGACCAGGAAGCCACTCTAGCAGCTGCGCGGTGAGGCCTGGCCTCGTTTTCCTGACACTTGTGTCTCCCGTTTAAACGATTTAAGGATAAATGTTATGGGTTTTCTTTGAACTTGGCATGTATGATTACAGTCACCAGTGGAAGCGCTTTGAGGATGTGGCATGTTTTAAATTTAGTTGTTTGACAAAAACATTCTCTCTTTCTCCCCGTGGCAGCAATCGCACCGTCAGCGGAACGCCCTCTGCACGGTTCCTAAGCGCTTCTCTCAGGGGCTGCCTAACCTCACCTGGCTGCACCTCCGCTCTAATGGGATCACAGCGCTGCCTTCTGGGGTCGGCTGCCACAAGTGAGTTGCACGTTTCTTTTCCCAGGTTAGGAGGTCACCATCATCTCCTTCAAATGCCCGAGTGCCTGTTCTTTGGCTGCCTAACCACACCCCACCCCACTGAATGTCGACTGTAGAGCAGAAGCGTGTAATGGCGTTTTCAAAGCCAGCTCGGAGGTGCGGTGGCTGCAGGTACCAAATGCACCTGTACGGTTATAGTTTAGGACGCGGAGCGCCGCGGAGCACGCCGGTACCACAGCGCCTCTGCTGGGTGGTCCACGCGGCTTCTGCAGCCGGTTCCACCTCTGACTCCCTCACGTGAAGCTGCCTGAAGGGTCAGAAATACCGTACTGAAGAACCTAGGGGTAAGACGGGAATAAAGACACAGGCCTACTAGAGCAGGGACTTGAGGATGTGGGGAGGGGGAAGGGTGAGCTGGGACAAAGTGAGAGAGTGGCATGGACATGTGTACACTACCAAACGTAAGGTAGATAGCTAGTGGGAAGCAGCTGCGTAGCACAGGGAGATCAGCTCAGTGCTTTGTGACCACCTGGAGGGGTGGGATAGGGAGGGTGGGAGGGAGGGAGACACAAGAGGGAAGAGATATGGGAACATATGTATATGTATAACTGATTCACTTTGTTATAAAGCAGAAACTAACACACCATTGTAGAGCAATTATACTCCAATAAAGATGTTAAAAAACAAAAACAAAAAAACCAAAACAAACAAACAAACAAAAGAAATACTGTCCATGAATTAAACCAGCAGCTTTGCTCCCAAGGGCCCGTGTGTAACTGCGCTGGTTCCTGGTAAATAATGAGTCATTCTTCCTTTCTGGGAAAATCAGAAACCCCAGAGCAAGCTCTGTGCCACCCAGCCACATTCCTGCCTCTCCGATGCCGGGCGTCTCCTACCACTCCCACTCTAGAACTGGGGCCAAGCTGCCTACCCCCTTCACCCGCCCCTCCCAGCAGCCACAGGTCAGCCGGCACGCCCCAGTCCTGGAGCCACATGCAGCGTGAGGCCACCCCACTCTCCTGGCCCCTGTGTCTCAGTGCCCAGTCCTTCTATGCCAGCTTCTTAACCTTTAGGAAACCTCATTACGTGAATTTCAGACACGCCTTTAACATTAGTGCACGCTGGACAGAGGGAAAAGCACGTGCAAGGGCCATGAGGTGGCCGTGTCCTTGGGCATGGGAGGGGCAGCAGGGAGGCCATGTGGTGGAACAGAGGAGGGAAGGGGCTGGAGGTGCCTGCAGAGGCAGTCGACCAGAGCTGGTAGGCGCGATCGTTAGTTTGAATTTCATCACGAAAGAGGCAGGAAGTCACAGACGGTTTGAAGGGAGGGACGGGGCTTTAAGATCACTCTGAAAGGAGGGGTGAGCGTGCCGCAGCGTGGCCAGTTAGGCTGCTGCAGCCGTCCACGCAGGAGAGCCGGGGGATTCAGGTGGGATGGACGGCGTGGGAGGAACAGAGGGGTCCAAGGGTGACCCCCTTCCTGCTAGAGTCATTGCAGCCCCTGTGAAATGGCAGAGTAGAGGCGCAGAGGCCCTTCACTTGCCTGAACTATTGCTCACTGGCTTTAAAAGTATGTTTAAAGAAGTGAGTATTTTGTCTGTGTAACAGCGAAAACCCCCGTGCGCCATCCGTGCCTTTTCAGGCTCTGCAGGGAAGCAGCTAGTTTCTGTTGACAAGTGGGTGTCTCCGGCAGGGTGGGGACACCCCCGGGAGCTGTCTTCCTGGAGCTCCCGGGCCTTCCTGGACCCACTGGGTCGGCGCCTGGTTGCCTAGAGCAGTGTCCTCAGCTCCGGCCAGCGCGTCTGCCAGCGGCAGTGTGACAGGCAGCCATGCCTTCTCTGCTTCCACCTGGTCCCCGCCAGCGCGACCCGGTGGCCCCAGGCGTCTCTGAGTGTGTGTCAGGGAGGCTTGGGGGGGCTCCGCTCTTCACGGGGAACTGGGCTGGTGTGTCGAGGGCAGTCTCATGCTTCTGGTCCATGGCTGTCTTAGCAAAATGGCACTCAGTTCTGGAGAGTAATTGCTCCTCGAAGGATAAAAACTAACTAGGGCTTGTGCTCATAAGCACTATTCTTTATTCTAAAATAAATACATGGTCTCAAATTTTGGAATTCTTTGACTTTGCCAGTCAAAGCCACCTGCTTAATGTCGTCTAAGATATAATTTTGCGTGTGATTTATAACCAGTTATATCATTAAAATTAGATCAGCTTGCTAAAGAGCTGAAACATTCATTAGAAATTTTAAGTAATTATGGGCTTATTGAAAGCCTTAAACTTTCCAAAAAGCCTAATTAAAACAATGCCAGAGGGCTTCCCTGGTGGCGCAGTGGTTGAGAGTCCGCCTGCCGATGCAGGGGACACGGGTTCCTGCCCCGATCCGGGAGGATCCCACATGCCGCGGAGCGGCTGGGCCCGTGAGCCATGGCCGCTGAGCCTGCGCGTCCGGAGCCTGCGCTGCGCAACGGGAGAGGCCACAACAGTGAGAGGCCCGCGTACTGCAAAAAACAAACAAACAAGCAAACAAAAACACAACGCCAGTGTTCACATTCTCCCGCTCTCAGTGTCTTGGATGTGTAAGCTTGCTAGCAGGGAGAGAAGGTTTACAAAGGCCCATCAGTATATGTGCTTCCTTAGGCAAACGACCCCAGGCCAGTATATAATGTGTGGCGTTCAGTTGAAAGTCCGTGAAATGCAATAATCAGTGGTTTACTGATAGTATTTGTGAATTTATCACTTAAAAGTGTGCACAAGAATATTCTAATGTATTATTATATAAGGTGGAAAAATCCCCTGTACACTTTCAGGTTCATAGTTGGCTAACATGCCCCCCCCAAAACAAACAAACAAGTAGACAAACAAGTGGGCTGGAACATCCTTGGCTTTGAGAAAGGCGTGTTGGAAGGTCCAGGGTACGTGGCTGCCTGCACATCCTGTTGAAGAATCTTAGAAGAGCAAACGCCGTCCTCCTTGGCTATTTTTTGTATTAGCGAAATTAAAAGAGGACTAAACCAAAACCAATACGTTGAAGTAACGATGTTTAACTAATTTGCCTTTGTGTTTACCAAGGAAAGTTTAATTCCCCAAGTTTACTTCTTAAAAACTTTAAATAATAGGAAAATCCAAGACAGTAAAGGGAAAGAGAATTGTCTGCTCCTCAGGTAATCCGATTTTCCTTTAGGGCTGCCAGTCAAAAAGTTAAACTTGGTTTAAATGAATACTTACTAGAGCTCTCAATTCTGTGTCTGTGAAACTATATTTTCTCCTTTCACATCCTGGGGACTCTGGTCAGTGTGGTGTTGAATTTTAATTTTTTCACCTTCCAAGGAAAATGAGACGCGAGACCGTCCCTCCCTCTAGCTGGAGCGTCATTTGCTGATGGGGTCTGCAGGGGGCTGTCTGCAGGACAGCTGAGGATGTGGGTACAGGTTAGCCTGCATTCCAGGCCACTCTGCTCCCCATTGGTCTCCCAGGGCTGCTCAGGGCATGGAACGTCACGCCCAGTGACAGAGAAGGCAGGCGGAGCTTCTCTGTCCCTCCCGGGGCTGTGAGGTCCTCCCCCGTGAGACCGCAGCTGTGTCTGCTGCAGGGCAGGTGTGCGGGGCGCCAGACTGTCCCTGGCGATTAAATAGTGCCTCGCCCCGAGGATTCCTCAGTCTCTCGGTGAAGCCTGGGTGGAGCAGGGCGGGAGACGGGCGTCCTGCCTCTGCCTGGACGCCCAGGAGAAGGGGCCGTCACACCCCGTGGCTGAAACACTGAACGAGCCAGGGCATCTGAAGTCTTTTTACATCCCTGAAAGCAACAGAGAAAGAGAAAATGATCATTAATAACGACGGAGCCCTGATGAAATGTGGAAAAGCAAAAGCAGCCGAACACAAGGGGCGACGTAGAGTTTGATGTGAACCATTTGTCGTCCGTTGTCGTTCAGTTCGTAAAGTTTTATTGGACATCTTCTTCCTGTCTATGATACGTCTTTTGCCAAACCTTGTAAGGGATATTAATAGCTATTAAGTGACAGAAGAGATCCCTGGTCAAGTACTGGGAGAAACACCCCTTCACCATGTTTCCTGGCTTTGAGACTTCAAAGAGGCCTTAGTGTGCGAATTCTTCATCTCTAAGCAGAGCAGATACTCTGTCTCCTGGACATCCTTCCGTGACTGTTCTCAGGCAGGGCGATTGTGCCCCAGTGGACGTTGGCATCATCTGGAGATCTTGTGGTTGTCACAGCTTGGGGAGGGGGGGGCATCTAGTGGGGTGAGGCCAGGATGCCGCTAAACACCCACTGGGCACGGGACGGTCCCCCCAACAAAGAACTGCCTGGTCCCAAGTGTCCGCAGTGCTGAGGCCCAGAGCCTGACCAGATGCTGAGACGTGGAGTCTATTTGCTGGTGGGGGCAGAGCATGGGCTAAACGTCTGCATTGAAGCCGCTCCCTTAAAGAGAAGACAGGTGAAGAAATTTGATGGTCATTTGATTTTCTGCTTTTAAATTACATATTTTTTGTTTTGTTTTAAAGGCATTTGAAAACTTTGCTTTTAGAAAGAAATCCTGTCAAGATGTTACCTGTGGAGCTGTAAGTGCTAAAACAATAAAATAAAAGACAGTTTTAAACGCGGCCTTCTGCAGTTACCAGACCTGTAATGCAAATTCAGGCCTGACCCAGCAGGGAAGCCCAGCCGATGCTTTAACTCCCTTCCACGCCATCCTTCTGCCCCTGAGACAACACAGATCCGATCGCAAGAGCTGTTGCTGCTGTGACATGTGTCCTACATGTGAGCACAGGGTACGAGCAATGCAAACGCGGAGCCCTGTACCTGCTGCTCAAGGAAGACCGGCATCAGGCCTTTGTGGACCCAGGTGTGCTTGTGAGTCCACCTGCCCCCTCCCCCCAGGCCAGCGTGACTTTTGTTCATCCTTCACTGCTTTCCTTGAAAGCGTTACCGCTTACTATCCCTACACAATACATGTTTAAAGGGCCTTCCTTTCAAACTTTCTCTAAGTTGCATCATCCCTTGCGTATTCTTGGTGACCTGGCGTTTGGGGGCTCAGCACGATGTCTTCCAGGCTTGTCCATGTGGATGTGGACAGCTGTTGTGTGTTCATTTCTGTTCCTTCTCCAGTGAACGGTTAGCTCCATTGCCTCCTTCCTGTCTTCTGTGCTGCTGTTTTCGTGAATTTTGCTTTGATATGTGTAATGGATCCAGTAGAGACTCTTTGAACTGTCTTACTTACGTTTTCTCACATGGCCGCCCTTCTGGTGCTCTTCATCTCTTCTTGCAGTTTCGTGCTTCCATCTGGGCTGACGGTGTTGGCCTAAAGATCTGTCTTTTGTGTTATATTGAGTCTTATTATAATGAATTATTTCAGGATTTTAAAAGGTCATCTTTATTTTCCCTTCTTTTTTTTTTTTTTTGCGGTACGTGGGCCTCTCACTGCTGTGGCCTCTCCCGTTGCGGAGCACAGGCTCTGGACGCGCAGGCTCAGCAGCCATGGCTCACGGGCCCAGCCGCTCTGCGACATGTGGGATCTTCCCAGACTGGGGCACGAACCCATGTCCCCTGCATCAGCAGGCGGACTCTCAACCACTGCGCCACCAGGGAAGCCCTTCCCTTCATTTTTGAAGGTTGTTTTAGCAGACTGTATAGGCTCCTAGACTTTAGGCATCGTGACTGCTTTAGAAATACCTTTATTGTCTTGTGGACTCCACTGTCTGTCGAAAAGTCAGCAGTCTTACTGGTTTTCCCTTAGAAGTAATACATCTTTTTTCTCTTTTTGTTTAATTTTCAGTAGTTTGTTTGGTTTTGTTTTTATAAATTTATTTATTTACTTATTACTTATTTTTGGCTGCGTTGGGTCTTCCTTGCTGCACGTGGGCTTTCTCTAGTTGTGGCGAGCGGGGGCTGCTCTTCATTGTGGTACAGTGGCTTCTCTTGTTGTGGCACGTGGGCTCTAGGCACGTGGGCTTCAGTAGTTGTGGCACCCGGGCTTAGTTGCTCCGTGGCATGTGGGATCTTCCAGGACCAGGACTCAAACCCGTGTCCCCTGCATTGGCAGGCGGATTCCTAACCACTGCATCACCAGGGAAGTCCCTGTTTACAGTTTTTGTGTTTTGCCGTTTTGCTTGACTTTAAAAACTATCTTTGCTGGCGTTCACCCTCCTTCTGTTTGGTGTCACTATGGGTCCAGTTCGCCTCTGGCTCTAAGTCGATTGTCCACAAGCAAATTGGACAAATACATTCATTTCTAGTCACTGCTTAGGATTTTTTAAAGCATATCTTTGCCCACTTTGTGAACTGTTTTTCTTTAAAAACACTGATCCCCAGCGTGTAGTGGTCAGGACTTCGCCATCCTGGACTCGCGTGTGCCGTGCCTGGTGCAGACACAGCGTGTCCTGCTCGGCCGCCCTCGGGGGTCCCTTGGGAGGAGACCTGGGCCTGGGGTCCCATGAGGCGGTTGCAGTCATGCCAGCACGTGACATCCAGGTGCTCACCTGGTTCTCCTGTTTGGATTCCACACTCTCCGAAAAATGTGAAAGAAAAGTTTTTGCTTCAGGAAACAAAGTTGTAAACCACTGACACTGAACATATTTTGTAGAATTTAATATTTTATTGTGTAATTAAAACCCATTGTCTTTCAACCCCAATTGTAGTTTCTATATGTATTTATACAAAGAGGGCTATACTGGTTCAAGTATAATAGATACATAATCGACTAGAAAAAAAGGTAGAAAATAGCTAAATAAATTCGGCTGAAAATGAATTCACTCCGTACAAGAAGGTAACTTGGACAGGACAAGGCTGTTTCAATGTGTTTAAGAACACAGGGGGCTGCGGGGTCTAGAGAGCCTGCCCCAGGGCTGAGGCCAGGCTTGGTGGGCAAGCCCCGCACCCTCACACCCTCACACCCTCGCACAGCTCCAGGCCCAGGCCACCGGGCTGTCAGCACATCTGTGTCCCTGCACGTCCAGGGAAAGGAGACCGTGTGAGGCCAGGTGACACCCGTCTCTGGGAAGCTGTGGCCCTAGCGCCCGATGAGGGATCTGGCACAAATTGTGGATGAATACGCAGTGGGCCAATTTCCTCTCACATAACTTTACTAGAGATCAAAGTGTTTAAAAGGCAGCAAAAGCATTGCAGTAAAAACTACAGGTGTGTGGGCTGAACATCAATTAGAAGCAGATACTAGAAGGTCTGGATGGGGCAAATATCTTCATTTATATGGATTTATGTGCAGTGTGAGGGCCTGGGGCACAGGGACCAGCCCCTACCCAGCCTTCTGCGCAGGGAGCGGGCTCCAGGTTTGCACGCGTCTCAGGCGTGGACGTACAGTCTACTAAAATGGCCTTTTATTCACTGTCGATTTCCCCAGTTAAAAAGATGAGCGTAAGTGAGGCGCCACCTCCCCTGGTGGATTTATCCGCAGAGCGTGAGCCCAACGAAGAAGCCATTCATTCTCAGGAGGCAGAGGGAACCATGGTAACAGAAAAGGCAGGCTTTTTCCCACCTGTGGGAAAACTAGACCTGCGTGAGTGCAGAAGGTCCGCCGAGCCTCCGGAGGACTGGCCGAGCGAGGAGGAGATCCGGCGCTTCTGGAAGCTGAGGCAGGAGATCGTGGAGAACCAGCAAGCGGAGGTTCTGGAGCGCCAGCGCCTGCCGGCGGAGCTGCCCCCAGCCCTCACGGCGGTGCTGAGCGACAAGGAGAAGCGGCGACCCCGCCCGAGACCCGTCTTCAGGTAAAAGTTGAAAGCAAGGGTGTACTTTCTTGATCTCTGCGCGGCTGTAATATCATTTTGTGATTCTCTGTTAAGACGTCGGGTGGACGTATGTCCACGTCACCATCGTTCGTTACACGGCAGATGCCAGGCCTGGTTTAGGTTAAAGTTATGCAGAAAACAGGCTCAGAGGAAGAGGTTACACGAGAGAAAAACTCAAATCCTGTGGGGGGGGGGTGTGGGGGTGTGCACACGTGTGTGGATGTGTGAATATACAGAGAGAACGTGACTCAGTAACATTGGGGAATACAGCTCATACGTCGGCAAGGGCGGTGATGTCACGTCCAGGGCACAGAACATGGTTAGCAGCCACTCCGGTCTGTGGCCCTGCAGATGGTGTGAACACACGCCCCACGTGTCTGGTAAAAGTCTGTGGCGGGACAGTGAGGAAGGGCCCGTCTGAGAAGGCTGCCATTGGGCACTATTGGAAAACAGATTAAAGAGCTTTGATCCACGTGCAAGGTGTGCACGTGTCTACTGCACTGTTGTTTCACCTGTTCTGTAGGTTTGAAAATTTTTCAAAGTAAAACCTTGTTCAAGTGTGATTACCTGGCCGTAGCCCTGGGAGGGCTGGAGGTGTGCAGGGCAGGTCTCCCCAGCCCACAGACCCCCGAAACCAAGTTGTACCTCGTCCAAGTCAGTGCGAGCCTTTTCCCGGCATGGCACAGTTTTACTGGTCCCAGGTGTAGGTCCAGCCATGGCCTGGCCCGGGGAGCGGGGTGGAGGCCCTGATGGCCGACCCTGCCTACGTTGTGGATTCTGGGGGTGGCAACTGTCTGTGACCGTCGGGGCATCTCCATGCAGCCAGCCCGCGGCCCTGCACTCACCCTCGGGGCCGTCACGGGGTTCAGTGCGGTGCTCGGCTGATGCCCTGGTATCATCGTAGGACAAGGACGCCCTCCTTCAAGAGCGTCCTGCCCGAGCTGGCCCCATGGCAGCAGACCCAGGGCCGCACCGGCCTGCCGGAAGAGAGTATCGGCCCAGATGGAGCAGCGCAGGAGGTGAGGTCGGGGGCAGCGGGGCGGGCTTGGCCTCGCCTGGAAGCTGCTCCTCGCGGGCCGTGTGCCCTGGGCGGCTGCAGGCCCTCAAGTTCGCCGCCCCGCCTCTGCCCTGTTTCCTCCTCTGGTCCCTTGGTCTTCCTCTACCCGTCCTCTCCTGTCAATCACCCAGCTTACAGGTCTTGTTTAAGAAAAGTGGCTTAAAAATAACGTGCCTGTCGGGGGGGTGCACTCCTGCCTCTGCCCCGCGGGGCTGTTGCTGGCTTGGTCGGCCTCGGTGCGGGGCCAGCTCGGGCCCTGTCCTCACTGTCCCCTCTGTCTCCTCTGTCCTCCAGCCCCACCAACTGCCTGTCTCCACCACGCTCTGGGCCCGCGAGGCCGGCTGGCGTGGACGGCGCCCTCCACCTTCTGGTTGTGTTCGGCCAGGGGGGGCTCCGGCGGGAGGTCAGAGAGAAGCGGGGAGGGAGGCAGGGTCCCTCTGCCCTGCCCACCGCTCCCGCTGCTGGGTGCCGGCAGCCCCTCCTTCCCTCACCGCAGGGCCCCGGGGTGGCTGCCGCCCGTCCTCCTAGCAGGGCCCCTGCTCCACCTTGCGAATAGACCCTCCTGACATCACCCGCCTGAGTGTTTTCTCTTGGGACCCTGCGGATGCAGACGGTCCTCAGGGCACGTGTTCTAATGGGCCAGCGTGGTGGTCCCGACACCAGACGTGCTTTTCAAGTCGGGTTTCATGTCCTTCAGGGAGAGGCTGGGTGACGTTAGGCCCTCAGACCTGGTCAGGGTGCACGGTGGCCCTGCCCTGGAGCTGGCATCCTGACGGCAAGGACGCAGCCATCGGACAGCGAGGCTCAGATGTGACTGCATGGCCTGGGCCCCCGGGGCCATGGTGGTCGCGGGCCACGCCCCAGAGTGTCCCTCTGCGGGAGTCCAGGCTGCAGGGCGGGAGTGGGCCCTCGCTGTGCGTCCCGACGGCCCTCTGCCCCGCATCCAGGCAGGTCCCGCTGCTGCCCGGCTGTGGAAGCTCAGCATCCCCCCCGCCACTTGCTAAGCACCTCTGTCTCCGAGGCTCAGCTGCCCCCGCGGCCACCGTCCACACCCTCTGGCTCGGGTGGGCACCTGGCTGGGGACCTCGGGAGGCCGGGCAGGACGTGCCCCTCCCCCCAGCTCGGGCTCCCCAGTGCCCAGGGTGCCGCCCGCCTTCGCTGAGGGCAGCTCTTGAATCAAAGGGCGAGCAGCAGCTCTCTCCGTGGTTTCTGTGCCGTGGGCCCCGAGACCACGTTCGGTGGCCTCCTTGGCAACAGCGTGGGGACCCCGTCCAGTGGCTTAGTCTCCACACAGCCCCGCGGAGCACGTCACACTTCCTGGTTACCTGTGCCCCCGAGAACGCTGCCCTGTGCCTCTTGAGGAACCTTCCAGCCCACTTCCCAAGAGGTGGCAGAGACAAAGACAGGCCCCTGCGCCCAGGAGCACTGCCCCTGATGTCACAGGGCCACAGTTCCACGCGGGGCACCGGCTTGGGTTGGGGGCTCGGGAAGCAGCCTCGCAGGCGAGGCGGGCTCTGCAGGGGTGCAGAGGGGGTGCCCGGCCCTCCCTCGGGCCTGGAGCTGGGGGAGCACGTAGCCAGATTCTGCCGACACCGATCTCCTGCCTCATCGTGGAGATAGGACAGAGGCTCTCGCAGGGCAGCGGCCAGAGCCCAGGAGGGCCCAGCTGCTGTGACCCTGGGCACCAAAGGGCCCCTGACGCGGGCAGCGGGAGAGGCCAGGGCGAGTCTGGGATGGTGGCCAGGGTCTGGGCCCACGATGGAGGGCTCTGCTGAGAGGGGAGACTGAGGGCCAGATGTGCAGGTGGGGTGGGAGGGCGCTGACCATGGGACTCCGTGGAAGATCCAGGAATGGGGTCAGACAGGCAGGTGGAGACCCAGGCTGGAGACGTAGCATCCAGACCCAGAGTGCGTGGCGGGTGAAGCCCTGGCCCCGTCCCGGCCCCGTCGCCACAGCCGCAGCCTGGGCAGGGGTGGCTTCTGTTCAGCTCAGAGGCTCCCCAGCGTTGCGGTGCCGCTGTGCCCGCGTGGGCAGCGAGTCCCCTGGGCATTGCCGTGGGCGGTTCGCGGTGCAGCGGGCGAGACGCAGCCAACAGCACAGTGACACCGCGGGTGACGGGGCTGGAGAGACAGGGCTCACGCTCTTAGGTGAGGCTCGGGCGTCTGAGAGGAAGTGGACCGGTCAGCATCCCCTGGGCCCCGTGCAGGCCAGTGAATGCCTGAAGCCTTTGCTGTGGAGCTCATGGCCACGGCCCCGACCAGGCCTTCCCTGAAAAGTGTCCTGGTGCCTCACTGGGCAGGGGCTGGGCGGGGCCTGGCTTGTCCCCGTCCAGGGAGCTCTGCCCACACGTGCGTTTCGGAGCCCCCAAGCTGCCCGTGTGTCCGGCCACGGGATCAGGAGTGAAGGGCTTTCGTGTGAAGCTTTAAAAGTGACAGTAGATGGGCTTCCCTGGTGGCGCAGTGGTTGAGAGTCCGCCTGCCGATGCAGGGGACATGGGTTCGTGCCCTGGTCTGGAAAGATCCCACATGCCGTGGAGCGGCTGGGCCCGTGAGCCATGGCCGCTAAGCCTGCGCATCCGGAGCCTGTGCTCCGTAATGGGAGAGGCCACAACGGTGAGAGGCCCGCGTACCGCAAAAAAAAAAAAAAAAAAGTGACAGTAGAAATCCTTGTAGGGACCTCCCTGGAGGTCCAGTGGTAAAGACTTCACCTTCCAGTGCAGGGGGTGTGGGTTTGATCCCTGGTCAGGGAGCTAAGATCCCACATACCTCGCGGCCAAAAAACCAAAACATGAAACGGAAGCAATAGTGTAACAAATTCAGTAAAGACTTTAAAAATGGTCTTTCTTTAGACCACATCAAAGAAAATCTTAAAAGAAATCTTTGTAAGCTGCGCACGAAGCTGCTTTTAACGACAACATCCGTGTTCCGCTGTGTCCTCCAGAGACAGGCAAGCACTGCAGGAGTGGAGGGTGCTGGCCCAGGAGGATGCAGAGGAGGAGGGAGGGGCTCAGCCACCTCCCGACCCCACGGAGGAACCTGGTACATCTGCGGGGGGCAGCCCGTTCAGCCCCGAGGGGTGGCGCGGCTGCCTGTGTCCAGGCTCACGGGTGAAGGAGGCTGCCTGCTCTGCAAAGCCTGACCGCTCACCGGCCTCTGCCACTCAGCCAGCAGCGACCTCCCCTTAGAAAGCAGGCCACCAGTGGGCCTCCCAGCACCCCGCACTGGCCCGGGCTCGTCCTCCCTGTTCCCCGGCCTCCACCAGCCACCCCTCTGCAGCCCCAGTGCCCACTCCTGGCCTCCCGGGAGCCTCCCTGTGGCACTCGGACCCCAGCCGCCCCCCCACAGCCGCCCCGCACTCCTCCTGCGTGGGCTTCAGGCCGGCTGGCCACGTGGAGGGAGCGTCACTGCCCCTCGCCCTCCTCTGGGGGAGCTGTGCTTGTGCCCTCCTGGGGACTCCCCTGACCTCCTTGTTCCCAGGTCCGGTGAGAGGCTGTCTGTCCTCACCCGGAGGGCCGTCCCGAGGCCTGTCCGGTCCTCTCTGTGCTCGAGCTCCCCGAGGCGGCTCTGTCCTGGTGTCCAGGCCTCTCCTCGCTCTGCTCCCGCTCTGATCACGGCAGCCCCTCACCCCTGCTCGTGAGCCCGGCATAACGAAGTCACCCCGACCCCACCCTCGCCAGGGCCCGGAGCCTCCCTGCTGTCCCTCCTCTCTGCCCGGTGCCTTTGCACGCCGCTTCCTCTGCCCTTACCTGCTGGGCCCCCGTCTGTGTGTCTTCAGAGCAGGGGTGGGACATGAACGTCTGCCTCGACCTGCACGGGCTCCTGGGCTCCAGACACCCGCTGGCCGGACTATGCAGGCGCCCCCATCCCACCAGACCCCTAGGCAGCCCGGCCCTGGCTTCTGGGGCTGGCCACGCGCGATCATGCTGGCCTCCTGTCATTCTGCCTGGTCCCCAGCCGCTCCTGCTTCCTGGGTGCTGATCAGGGGTGGACAGAAGGGGCTCACGATGGCGGGCTCAGGGCTCCCAGGCTGGACTCGGTCCCCAGTCCAGGCCACACGCCACATGACTGCAGCGGAAGGGCGATTTCCCCTCTGCCCAGGCCCCCTCAGCCTCTTCATGGCAGCGAGAGCACCTCCTCTCCCCGCAGACCACAGAGAGGATTGTTAAGATGACCCCCAGAGACCATGGACCCCCGGGGCAGCTGGAGCTCTGGGCAGACTGGTGCACCTTCCCCCCCTCCCGCCTCCAGGGTGGTATTTAAGCATCATCATGACCACGGTGGCTGTCGGATGGGGAGCCACTGCAGGTCACTCGGGCTTGAATACGCGTGACATATGATAAAACGTACCATCTTGACCGTCGTTAAATGTACAGTTCAGAGGCATTTAGGACATTCCCACTGTGGAACCGACACCACATCTGTCTCCAGAACTTTCTCATCTTCCCAAACGGAAACTCTGTCCCCGTTAAACACCAAGTCCTCACCCCACTTCCCCCGGCCCCCAGCCCCGCCCTCTACTTTCTGTCTCTGTATTTGGCTCCCGTGGGGACCTCCTGTGGGTGGAATCACACGGCATTGGTCCCTTTGCGTCTGGCTCATTTCACTGAGCATAACGTCTTCAAGGTTCATCTGTATCGTAGCCTGTGTCAAAATTTCCTTCCTTTTTAAGGCTGAATGATATTCCATCCTGTGGACGGGCACATATTCTTCTCCGTCCGTCCATCCACAAATGCGAGAGTTGCTTCTGTCATGTGGCTGCAGTGCCCATAGGCGCGGCGTTGCCGGCGCAAACTGTCTTTTGTATGTGGGTCACTCCAGCTAGAAACGACTTCTGTGATACTGTGCAAGAAGCAGCTTATCCCGTTGTGTGTATTTTTGTATATTACAGAGAAAGGTGGTCACTATGTTTTACAGCGTGGAAATTGACAAATGTCTGTATAACTTGGAGTACCACAACATCCCATAAGTTAGATAGGAAATTTAGAAGCTCTGAAACTCACAGCAGGAAATCTTTACTTCATAAAACTTAAATATTTTATATGGCCTAAAATACTATAATTAAAGTCAAAAGATAGGGGGAAATATTTGTGACGTATGTTTGTAACAAAAGATTAATATCTAAAATATAAAGAAAAACCACAAGTAGATTTTTTAAATTAAAGAATGCAGTAGAGAAACGGGCAAAGTGTAGGACAGGCAGTTCACAGGTGAGGAAGCCCCAGTGGCGGTAAATTCAGAAAAGAAGCCCAGCTGCTCGGAGGTCCGGGTGTAAACACCCACCAGCACCGCTCGGGAAGTGGCCGGCAGAACAGAAGCCTCGGGCAGCAGGCTTCCGGCCACTGCTGCTGCCAGGGCGTCAGCTGCTTGGAAATGTCTAGTAAAGTTAAAAATACTGATTTCTTGGAAGACTTCCGGTGTCCCGCCTCACAGAAATAAAGCAGTCGGATCACAGGCCTGTCGTACAAAGACGTGGGTTTGTGGAACCCACAAAAGCATCGTCTGCACGCCCACCGCATCCTCTGTCCCCCGGCCGCACCAGGCCCTCCCACGTTCCGGCTGCACCCGTGTGCTCTGTGGGGTCGCCCACGTCCTGCCCCCCAGAGCCTGAAAGCAGGAAGGGAAGGGAAGACTCCTCCCGCATGGGCAGGGGGCCTGAGCCTCCTGACTCATCACCCCCTTTTTAAAAAGCCTTGCGTTTTCATTTTCCACGATGCTCTAAACTGGCAGCTGTGCCAGTGGCCTCTGGATCCATTTTATTGGCCTGAAGAATACCCCTCGTCTGCTTGACGCTCAACATATGAAGCTCAGGGTCAAGGGACTCCCCTGGCTGTCCAGTGCTTTAGACTCTGCACTTCCAGTGTAGGGGGCCCGGGTTCTATCCCTGGTCAGGGAACTAAGGTCCCACATGCCACAGAACACGGCCAAAAAGTAAAACAAAACAAAACAAAAAACTCGGGGTCGAGCCACTCTCAGCCACTAACACGGCGCCGTCCTCCTCGCCTGCTCCGCAGGGTGCAGGGCCCTCCCTCCTCTGTACTTTGTGATAACAGTAAGATATGGCTGGGGTTTCAGTCCAAATCATATACTTCTAAAGGTTTTAAAGATAAATGTCTGACTTTAGGAAGTACACCTAGTGGCTTTAGTTCTTTTCCCTGTGTTGGAGCACTGTTGAGGAGAACCCTGATTAATGACAGCGTGTGTGCCGGCTCCCAGGCAGCCAGCAGGTAGTTTCAGTTCTGCTGCGTCTGCAGCCTGGCAGCATGGGGGGAGCAGAGCAGAGGAAAGGTTGGACGTGGTTTCTGCTCCCCTCCCCCGCCCATCCACCCCCCTCCATCCTCCCTCCTCTCTCCCAGCCTTCCCTGGCGCTAGGTCCTTCTAAGAGTCAGACAGGTGCTGGGGTGGAGCTGACGACGCAGGCGGACAGGTCCCGCCCTGGTAACCCGCTTAGAGGTGACCGGGCAGATTAGCCCTGCTCTGATCCCCCTCGCCTCCCCAGGACCCGCACGCGCCCTGTCCCTGCAGCAGCTGTGCTGCCCTGACCCACAGACAGACAGACAAGCACAGGTCTAAAGCTGCCTGAGGAGCGCAGGCTCGGTCTGGTTCTCAGACTTGTCCGTTTGGGGGTGGGGGCAGCAGCGGGCAGCGCTGGTCAAGGGCCCTGGTGTGTTTCCACTCACGTCCTTGTTACGTGGGCGCAGGGCCCCCGGTTTCTGGCGCTGAAGGCGGGATCGTACCAGGGCCCCGGGGCAGGACGAGGCTGCCACGGGATGGCTGGGGTGGGACGTGGCAGAGGTCACAGGTCCTCAGGAAGCCCGGGGCACCCCAGCAGAGCAGTGAGGACATACCCCCAGCAGCAGGGTGTCGGGCACCCTCAGCAGCACGGGGCCTGGCGTGGAAGCCGAGGAGGTCAGGGTGCAGGAGGGCTCCAACCAGACATCCAGTTGTGGCCCAAGGAGGGAGGAGGGAAAAGGAAGGCTCTGGAAAGGCAGACCTGGTAGATAGAGAACCAGGGAAAGGGGAATTGGGTGGGAGACGGGGGCCACTTTGAAGACGTGGGTGAGCAAATCCAGATGAGACACACCAGGTCCAGCTGACCAGAAATCCAGGTGTGACATCCGCGGGCCCTAGAAATGAGGAATTCGCTAGCATTTGTAGCGCTATTTCAACATATTTTGTGTAATGCTGCAACCTACAAGTTTTAAGGAATTTGTTGTTTTCAAAATAAATTGAGGTGGCCTGTGAATTCTTACGGAGAGTTTCCAGAACCACGACAGAACTACCCTGTCTTCCTCTGCCCCTGGACATGGCCCCTGCACCCAGTAAAACCCGTGGCGGCTGCTGGGGAGAGCAGAGAAAGCATCCTGCAGGAGGCGCTGGACGGTAGCCATCTGGAGCTCACAGGGTCCCTGAGAGCATCGGAGCTTGCCTGGCCTTGGGCGCCGGGCATGGGGGTAGGGGGCTAGTTAGTGGGACGCACCTGAGCTCCAGCCGTGCCCGCACGCGTGCAGGAGGCCCTCCTTCGCACCCGGAGTCACAGCAGTCTTACTGTAGCAGAAAAGCCAGCACTGGGTTACTTCCTGCACGTTTTCAGTTGCTTTGTGTCAGTTTGTTGTGCCACTGATCCAAGCTGGTGAATCTGTCATTCAGGTTTTCCGACGGCGAGGCTTCTTCTGCTTTCCCCACTTCATCAGTCAGGTGTGAGCCCTCGTGTGTTAGCTTGACGTAGTGATTTAACACAGGGCCGTACGAGAGGCGCGGGGCCCCTGCAGAGTGTTTCCATCTGCTGCGCTGGCGCCCCCGGGCCGCTGAGGAGCCGTCCACCTGCCCCGTGTCCTGCGCTCTGCCCTCACCCTGCACCGCCGGCCAGCCCAGGCCAAGGGTTGGGGACCCCAGCGTGTGGGGCACGAGTGTGCTGCACCTGAAGCCGCCTTGGTGTTAGCGGCTGCGTATTCCCGGATTCCTGAAACCCTCTCGCTGCGTTTCCAGGTGGCGTCCAAGGTTCCCTTTGCCACTGACCTGATAGGTCATGAGAAAATACCGATGCATTCGCCTGGGAAGCTGAAACAAAGCAAAGAGAAATAACTGCAAGCAAGTCAGGGAATGAGGTGGGTACCGGGTCTCGTTCCGTTCTGCTGGACGCGGCGCCCTCCGACCTCCCCCTGCAGATGCATCTCTCCCGCTCCCCCCACCTCAGCCCCGGCCTGCCCTGGGCCCCTCCTGCAGGTCCAGGTACACTCAGGGACAAAAAGCAGGAGAGCCGCCATGCCGCCACTTTGCAGCTCTCACTCCCGCAGTGTCCACTCGACCCCTAGATCGCCGCCCTTTCCGCCCCCTCGCCCCCCCGGGACAGCGGCTGCTTAGGGTCCTGGCGAGCCCTCGTCCTCCTGTGCTGATGCTGCCCTGCCGCTGGGCGCTCTGCCCTCGGCCCCCTGCCGACCCAGAGTCCGCACCAGGAATGACCGAGGGGGCTCCGCGCTGTCCTCCCCGCCTTCCCGCCGCCCCCGTCTGCACCAGGCCCACCGCAGGGAGGCACCTCCATGGGCTCAGAGGCCAGAGCTGAAGTAAACCGGGGGGCTCGGGATGGGGGCACCCGCCTGCCCTGGGCCCTGGCACTGCTCCCACCACGGGCACCAGCTCTGGTCTGAGGGCCTGGGGGAAGGTCATCACGCTGTGACCTGTGGACGGCAGAGGGCTCATTCCTTCTCCCTCCCCCCTGGAAATCGGGGAAACGTCATAGGTCTGCGCCTGGGGCTAACCCAGCCACGTGGGTTGGAATGTGCTCTCACGTCCTCCGGGGAACTTCCGTCGCCCCCGTGGGCCCTCAGCAAGCCACAGCAGACGACATCTACACGGACGCCCCTGCGCCGTGGACAGGATTTCCTGAGAGCTGGGCTCTGAGATGCTGGGCGGGCAGGCCCTTCACCCAGCGTCTGTCCTGCAGGCCTCAGGAGGCCGCTGTGCTGGTGGGGCGGGGTCTCGGGAGGCCCGGCCGGGGACCCACCAGGCTCTGCCGCCCTTCCCACTGAGCGCCCGACATCCCGCGGGAGGGCTCTGGGCCATACTGAGCAGACGTGTCTAAAATCCTACTTGATGCCGTGCTCTGTTCCTCTCTTTGAGGGTTTATTAAAGCTGTGTGTTTCATATGAAAACAAAGACACACCTCCTCCTTCGCGTGCAGAGCGTGCAGTGTCCTCGGTGTGCAACATCTTTCGTGAGCTGGTCTAGCAGCTGTGAGTGCAGGAGGGGGCGGTAAAGGCAGCCTGTCTGTCTGTGGGCTGGTGCCCAACCGGGGGCCGGCCGACCAGCCCCAGGACTGCTGTTTTGGCCAGAAGGAGAAAGGGAAAATTCTCCCTCCGTGTTCAGGTAGAATCCTTTCCTCGCTGCCCTTTGTTTCCCCAGTGCCTTCCGAGAGGAAAAGCGGAAACAGCACATCCAGCAACTGCGGGAACGAAGAAGCAGATTCCGAGGGTCGGCACCTCTCGAGGAGATAGGGAGGGCCACGCAGGACTTGGAAATTGTAAGTATTTGTCAGCTCGACTTGAAAATAAGATTTGATTAAAACTCGAAGGGAACCACACGTTCTCTAAACTTGTGGAGTCTTCCCAGCATCACGGGTGGTCAGAGGATAAGGAAACATTCCCGCAAGCGTGCGCCCCCGGGTGCCGGCACCACTGGACGGACCCGCGGCTGTGGTCCTCCCGGCACGCCCACGTCTGTGTGGCAGGAAGGTTGCCACCAGCATCAGTCCGTCCATCCGTCCATCCCACAGACGTAGATAAGCACCTACTGCGTGTCTGGAGTGTCCGCCGTTACGAGAGTGACGCAGAGATGGAGGAGACACCTTCCTGCCCTGCCCAGCACATAGTCAGCCCACCCCACCCCCACCCCGCCCTCCCCGCGAGCACCCAGGCCTCCACGCATCCCCATCAGCTGCCCCCGCTGCCCGCGGGCACTCGCTCTCCCAGCCGCAGGAGCACCTGCCTGTCCTCCCAGCACCCAGGCCCCAGCTCGTGGGCCTGTTCTGAGCCGTGTGTCTCACCCCGGTGCGGTGGCCCAGAGCCCCTCTCCCGGGTCTGCTGCCCCAGGGCTAGCAGCATCGTCCCCACCGCCCGCCGAGGGCTCTGTCACTATTGTCCCCTCTCTTGGGGCCCACAGGGATGGGGGGGAAGGAACACAGGCAGGGGCTGGGGCGCTTCGTAGAGACCCCACCCTGCTCAGACTCTGCCCCTCTTCTCAGACTCTTTTCCTTCCCGGCCTTGCCTTCAGAGGAACCTTTATTCTCTCCAAATCTATCATTGACGGGAATAACCTCATTCTTGGACACCCCAAACCCTACCTCTTAGGGCTTCTGAACAGCTGTGTCTCATCGCACTGCTTCAGATTAGAGACTCAAAAGTCTGTTTGGTGTTGGGAACAACTCTATGCTCACAGATTTCATAACCTATTTGAAATGAGTCAATTCCTTGAAAGACACCATCAGCCAAAACTCAACAGGAGAAGAAACGATCTGAATAGACTGATACTATTAATGAACTTGAATCAATAATTAATAAGCTTTCCAGTGCGTTCCCTGGTGAAGTCTACCAAACATTCAGGGAAGCAATTGCGTCAGCTCCCTTCCAGAGGCTAGAAGCAGAGGGAATACTGTGTAACTCACCCTATGAAGCCAGCATCACCCCAGTACCAAAAGCAAGGGCATTACATGAAAGGAAAACTACAGCCCAGTCTCTCTCATGAACAAAGATGCAAAAACCCTCACCAAAACACGAGCAAGTCAAATTCAACAACGTATAAAAAGAATAACGAACGACCAAGTGGAATGTACCCCAGACATGCAAGGCTGGCTCAGCGTCTGAAAGCCAGTTTACATGACGCATCACATCCACAGGCTGAAGAAGAAAAATCATAGGCTTGTATCAGTAGCTGCAAAAAAAAAAAGCATTTGACAAAGTCTAACACCCATTCATGATAAAAACCCTCAGCAAACTGGGAATAGAGGGGAGCTTCCTCGGCTTGTTAAAGGACATCCACAGAGACTCTACACTAACATCATGCTTAATGGTGAGAAACTAGACGCTTTCCCCCAAGGTCAGTAACAAGGCAGGGGTGTCCCCTCTCACTGTTTCTCCTCAGCATTTTTGTTCTTAGGTGGCGTGATTGTCTGTGTAGAAAATCCCAAAGAATTGACCCAAAAAATTCCTGGAACTAGTAAACAATTATAACAAGGTTGCAGGATACAAGGTTAATATATAAAAGTCCATTGCTTACCATATACCAGCAATGAACAAGTGGAATTTGAAATTAAAAACAATACCATTTATATTAGCACCCCAAAAATGGTGCTAGGTATAAATCCAACAAAATGTGCACAAAATCTATATGAGGAAAAGTACAAAACTCTGATGAAGGTAACTAAAGAAGAATAAATAAATGGAGAGATGGTCCATGTTCATGGATAGGAAGACTCAGTATTGTCAAGGTGTCAGTTCTTCCCAACTTGATCCATAGATTCACCTTAAACTCAGTCAAAATCCCATCAAGTCATTCTGTGGATATTGACCAACTGATTCTAAAGTTTATATGGCGGCAAAAGACCCAAAAGAGCCAACACAATATTGAAGAAGAAGAACAAGGTCGGAGAACTGACACTACCCAACGTCGAGACTTTCTATAAAGTTACAGCAATCAAGACGGTGTGGTGTTGGTGAAAGAAGAGTCAGACAGATCAATGGCACAGAAGACAGAGCCCAGAAATGGACCCACACAAATACAGTCAACTGATCTTTGACACATGAGCAAAGGGAACAAAACAGAGCAAAGAGAGTGTTTTCAACAGCTGGTGCTGGGCCACCCGGACATCCACATGCAGAAAAATGAATCTAGACACAGACCTTATACCCGTCACAAATATTAACTAAAAGTGGATCACTCTTACCAGACTGTGTACATAGAATATGTACAGTTTTTTATATAAATTATACCTCAATAAAGCTGTAAAAACATGGGTCACAGACCTAAATGTAAAATGCAAAAATATAAAGCTCCTAGAAGACAACATAGAAAACCTAGATGACCTTGAGTTGGTGACGCCTTTTTACATAGAACATCAAGGCATGAAAGAAAAAAATGGTAAGTTGGACTTCATTAAAATTTTAAAATTCTGTTCTGTGCAGGACACTGTCAAGAATAAGACAGCCACAGACTTGGGGGAAATAGTTGCGAGAGACATATATGATAAACCACTGTTGTCCAAAATAAGCAAAGAACTCTTAAAGACTCAACAATAAGAAAGCAAACAACCCTATTAAATGATGGGCCACAGACCTGAACCAACACCTTGCCAGAGAAGGTACATAGATGTTAAATATGCTTATGAAAAAGTGCTGAACAAAGTACTTCATTAGGAAATGCAATTTAAAGCAACAAGGAGCTAGCACTGCACACCTGTTAGAATGGCTGTGATGCAGGCACGGACCACACCAGCTGCCCATGGACTGAGGAGCAGCAGGGACTCTCACTCACCACCGGTGGGAACACAGAGCAGTGCAGCCACCTTGGAGACAGCGTGACGGTTTCTTACAAAATTAAGTATACTCTTACCATACAGTCCAGCAGTTGTGCTCCTTAGTATTTACCCACAGGAGTTGAAAACTTATGTCCACACAGAAACCTGCACACAAATGTGTGTAGCAGCTTCATTCATAACTGCCAAAACTTGGAAACAACCAAGATGTCCTTCCGTAGGGGAACGGGCTAATGAACTGTGGTCCATCCAGACACTGGAATATTACTCGGTGTGCAAAATGAGCTAAGAGGCCATGAAAGACAGGGAAACACTTCAAATGCTTATTACAGAGTGAAAGAAGCATTGTGTGAGGCTTCTGAAAACGCGGCCTACGGTATGATTCCAACTCTGTGACATTCTGGGAAAGGCAGAACTATGGAGACAGTAAAGAGACCAGGTTGCCAGGGGTCGGGGGGAGGGAGGGATGAACGGGGGAGCACAGGCGATGCTAGGGCAGTGGGGCTGCTCTGTGTGACACTGTGAGGATGGATGCGTGTCACTGTGCGTTTGTGCAAAGCCATGGAATTACAACACTAGGAGTGAACCCTAAGGCCAGCTGTGGGCTTGGGTGGTGACGCGTCAGCCTGGGCTCATCAGCTGTAGCAAATGTCCCCTCTGGCGGGGGGTGAAAACTACAGAAATAAAGTCCCGGGTGAAGTGTGGGTGCCCGAGAGCCACGCACACGGTTCACAAGACAGTCTCGACAGCGTTTGATGCACCACCGGTGGGAGAAGGTGGGCCCCGCGGCCAGGAGCTCACATCAGGTTGGAAGGCCAGGAGGTCTGCATCTGGTGAGGGCCAGCTGATGCCCGGCAGGCTCTCCCTCCAGGTGCGCGTGGCCCCTTTTCTCGTGGGTTAGTCTCCAGTCTGCCCTGCGGCCCCACTGGACAACAGGAGAGGAGCAAAGTGAGGCAGCTCCTCAGCACAAAGGAAAGGGAGAGGAGAGGCCAGCTCCTCCCATAATCACGAACAGAGCACGGGCCGCCCGCTAGAGGCCACGTTTCCCAACACCCCTCGTAGCGTATGCGACGGCCTGTGATTACGGTCGGGCCAGCAGGACAGGAATAGACGTAGACGTGTGTATGAACTTCCTGAGCTTGTCCTCCCCTCCCCCTGCTGGAATGCACAGGCGATGGTGGGAGCTGGGGCAGCCATCCCAGACCCTGAGGTTGAGAGTGTGGAGTGAGGGGCAGAGTAACGTCCCCATGCTGACAGCAGCCCTCAGATAAACCGCCGCACCTGGTTCGGCCTCCCCATCTGGGCCTTTGTTCCAGCCGCTGAGCCTGTAACCTAACCATTCACAGGCCAGCTTGGTTCTGGAGGAAGAAAGCCACCTGCTGCTGTGACACGAGGGCCTCTGAGAGGGAGGCTGGCAAGAAGCGAGATGGCTGGTTCCACGGGGCCCACGGACTCAGGACTGGAGAGGCTGAGGGTGGAAGGTCCGCAGCACCCTCGCCACCCTGCTCAGCTCCCCTGTCCACCCAGCAGGACGTGTGGGGGATGGACTCTCAGAGGTTGAACAAGGAGGTCTGGGCCCGTGGGCCCTCCCGCGGAAGGGGGGCGCCACCCGATGCCTTCCTGAGCGCGGGAGCCACGAGGATCAGGCCGGACGCCTGCTCCCCGCCTTGAGAGTGGGAAGGGGCCCCTGAAGAAAACTGGCGGAGATGAATGCCCTCAGAGCCCTGGCTCGTGGGCCCCCCGCCCCCATCCTGACTGACCAGCAGGGCCGCGTCCCAGTGGGTACGGCATTTCAGTGCCTACTCCTTGAGTGGGTGGGAGCCGGGACGCTGGGCGCTCGAGGGAGGGACCAAAACGGCCGACTGGAAACGCGCAGACGAATTGAAGTCCTCTGGGCAATGATGGAAACCAGCTGTTACAAGAGTGGGCACTCAGGTATCTGAGAACTTGGAGTTAAGTGAAAAGTACAGCCAGAATCCCTAAAAGTTAAAAAGCCTGAATCAACAGATGAGGTCGAGCAAATCCCCCAAGAAGCGGAACAAAGACAAAAGGAGGGATGGAAAGCAGAGATGAGTCAGACCCTAGGGTCGACCGGAGAGGCCTGACCTCCGAGATGCTCTGGAAACTCACGGGAAAACCCAGGGAGGTTCAGGAAGCAGGCTGTTTCCAGGCTGCCGGGCGGCCATGGCCCCAGACCATCCCAAACAGGCTCTGAGGTCCTGGAGCCCCCAGGGAGGGACAGGGCACATGCAGAGACTGGGCCAGGCGCCACGCGGGGACTCGGGGACGTCCCTTCCCTTCCCTCTGGAGCTGGAAGAGCGGGCGTGTCCTCCCAAGACGGGGAAGAGACCCCGGGGGAGGAGCCCGGCCCGAGGGTCTGCAGGGGAGCCAGGCTGCTTGGATGACCCCAGGAAAGGACGGGCCTGGGGAACTAAATGGATGTTTTTAAAGGAGCAGTCAGCTCACAGAGTACACATCTCTGCCGGAAGGAAACCGGAAGCAGTGGGTACTCAGTGGACGGCAGCGGAGGTTCCCCTGGGCCTCATGACACAAGCTCTGGGCCTCACGACACAAGCTCTGGGTGTTAGTTTCACCCAAGATCGTGGTAGATCCATCTTAGGGGACGAGGCGGCGTAGGGGTCTCAGGGGGGCCTCCAGGCTATGCCCCAGGGAGACAGAGCTGAGGGGGTGGTGAGGGGAGGGAGGGGAGCGTGGAGGACACGGCCCCCCGGGGGTGGGGAGGCCCCGCGCAGACACACCTGCCCTCAGACGCGGGAGGGCCCGCTCCTTTTGCTCTGGCCGCCTGGTCCCCTGCGTTCTCCATCTCACCGTCTTCTGGCCCAGCTGGTGGATCGGGGTGAGCAGAGGGGGTGAGGCGTGCTGGGGGGGCTCCCCCTCGGGAGGGCGGCTCTGGGCCCAGGGGACAGGTCCCACCCGTCACCCGGCGCCCTCCCCAGCCCCGTGGCCAGGCTAACCTGACCCCTTCCTTTCTCCCCAAGGCCAGGAGGCTGCAGGATGAAGTAATGAAACTAGAACTGAGGTCGACCTTGAACAGAAACCATCAATGTACAGCTCTCCCCGGAAGCCTTTCGCTCGGCCCGACTTTGTTGCAGCCTCAGAATCTATTTTTTAACACGAACTATTAAGAACCTGCAAACGTTTACAGATGCTAATGACAGAGCATCACTGGTACAGACTGAGCATCTTCTCACCTGGAAAACAGGCCGGCAGCTCGCTGCCTCCCCAGGGGTCGCCCCTGTGCAGGGCGTGAGGTTTACGGGTCCCCATCTGCGCTGCCTATTCGGAGGCTGCAGGAGGTCTGAGCTGCATTAAGAGAATACGGTGACGGCCGCGTGGCATCCGTTTGCAGCCCGTCGGCTGGCAGAACGTGGTGTCGGCACCTGTGCCCCCCGACCCTGCTCACAGCGGGGATCAAGCTTTCACGACTGACTAAAGTGGGGCCCGAGGTCCGTGGGGCCGTCTTTGCTGGGGAGGCAGGAGTGCCCTCCTCCCGCCCGGCGGCGCTGCTCCCCTCCCTGGGCGCTGCCCCTCCCCTGGCCCTGCAGCACCGCCGGCCCCGTCCCAGGCCCCCGGGCTCTCACCCAGCGTCGGCGCGACTTAGTCTCTTGTGCCGAACGTCTGATTAGATGTGAAATAAGGGCTTGATCTTGAAAAGACCTTTGATTCGATTTCTTTTTTTTAACAGATGTAGGATAACTCAGATTTTCTATTTCTTTTTGTGTCAACTTCTTTGGTAGACATGTTTTTCCTTGAGTTTTTCCATTTCATCCAAGTTGTCAGGTTCATCAGCATAAACTTCTTCATAATATCCTCATATTTTCTCAGTCACTGAGGACCTGTAACAATGTCCCCTTTCTCGTTACTGATGTTGCCCCGTTTTCCTTAATCTTGCTCGGGATTCGTCACTTCTGTTAATCTTTTCGAACAACCACGGTTGGCTTTGTCGAGTTTCTATCGTGTTTTCTGTATCATTGATTCCCGTTCTTCCCCTTCTTTTCTGTTTTCTTTGGGTTTAATCAGTGCTTAGAGGGAACTTCACCACTTTCAAATGCATATGCCACAAAGGAAGAGACAGGTAAAATCCATACCCTGGGCTCCCAACTCAAGAAGCTAGAAGGTGTGTTAGCTACCTGTTGCTGCGTTAACAAGTTACTCCAGAACAAAGCAGCTGGAGGAGTAGATAAATAGCAATAAAGAATTATAAATAATTATATCATGTATTATTATATATGACTATATTAACATGGCGTAATAATAATAAGTGTTTGTTGTCTCTCCCAGCTTGTGAGCGCCAGGGTAGAGGGAGCGGCTCGGCCAGCACTTCTGGCTCAGTCGGGCCACGGGTCGGGCCACGCTGCCGGAAGGCTCACTGGGCTGGGCGTCTGGTTCCCTGTGAGTCCGGTCCTGGGAAATGTGTGAAGACCTGCTTCACGCCTGCCGTACGACTTCCTCTGGGAAATGTTCCGTGCGACTGGACGAGAATCTACTTGGACGTCGCGCTGTTGGACGTCGCGCTGTTGGACGTAGCGCTGTTGGATGTAGCGCTGTGTGTCCATCAGGCGGATTGACGGTGTTGGTCAGATCTCCTGCATCCTCCAGGTTGGTTCATCTTGTCCTGTCGGCTGGATACCATTTCCAGCCACGGTGTGGCCTCACGTGTGTCTCCCTTTAGCCGTGTCAGCTGCTGCTGTACGTGGTTCCAAACTATGTTATTAGATGCCTGCGCATTTAGGGTTGTTGTGCCTTCCTGTTGAATTAGCCTTTCCGTCAACAGGAAATATTTCTCTTTATCCCGTGTTCCATACTTCTTGCCTTTGAGGTCTATTTTGTCTGATGGGCATTTATACCACCACTGCTCCATTGAGCGTTTACCAATACGTCTTCCATCCTTTTACTTCAATCTTTCTGGGTTTTTATGTGTAAAGTACGTCTTATGTAAATATCATATACTTGGGTCTTCCTTCCTTTCTCTAGCCTGACGATCTTTGTCTTTTAATTAGAGGGTTTAGTCCCCTTACATTCATATGGTTGATTTTAAGTCTCCCCTCTTGCTATTTGTTTTATGAGTCTCATGTTCTTTTATTCTTCCTTTGCTGTTCTCTGATAAAGTAAGCAAATTTTTAAAAAATTTTAAATTATTTTTAAAATTTTACCCGGGGCAGCGGAGAGGGAAGGGAAGGAAACATGCAGGGTCAGGGGATGCAGGGAGGAAAATACACGTCTAATTTTCCAAAATTACCAGAGGAGGTAAAAGGATCGTACCTCCTAACAGGATGCAGAGCACAGGGGACTTCAGGTGAACAGGGTGAAAAACGGAGTGAACAGCAAGCCAGCAAAACAAATACAAAGATGGAAGGAATGAAATCAAGTGTATCAGCCGCCACGTTGGACTTGCTAATACTAAATTGTTCTATTGGCCTTTTAAAGAAATACATAATGCAACCATCTTTGACTTTTACCCATACACTGTTTCTAAGATTCATTCTTAGAGCAGAGCGATGTTTTTAAAAGGTTGGAATGAGGGGAGTTTGACTTCCGGGTGGGACTAGGGGATCTGCTCCCGGGGCAGCTGGGAGACCCCAAGGCAGAGATCACAGAGGCCGCCAGCCGCCAGCAGCGCGGGGCCGGCTCGTGGTCTGTTGAAGAGCAAGCGTGTGGTGGCTCTCGGCTCGGGCTGCCGGGCTCTGTGGGCTGGTTCTCTCCCCGCTGCGGTCTGTGCCCTCCGCTGCCTGCGGCACCCCCGCGTGGCCTCTGTGGCAGGTGCTTTGCCCTCTCCCACGGCCACCCGGGGCCCAGCAGGCGCAGAGCAGGGGTCCCCATGCCTTGCGGAGGCTTGGGCCGCGAACCAGCACAGCACGCTTCCTCCGTGTGCCCTGCGTGGGCTCAATCGCAGGGCCGCCCAAACTCACCGAGCAGCGGGCCGCATCCCCCGCCCCTCGGCTATGCCGAGACCCCGTGCTCCCTTCTGCTCCTGTGGGTGTCCCCCCAGGAGGGGCCGGTACGAGAGGGCCTCTGCGTGGCGTGTCAGTGCCGCGTCCCCAGCTGGGCTGATGTCCACGTAGCCGCCCAGATGTCCAGACGGGCCCCGTGGCTCTGCGCCGTTTCTGCTTTGCCTCGAGGTCTCTGTTCGGGTTCCCGGTTGTTGGGTTCTCCCTGCCTCACACCTGCTCTGCTCATGTGGGGAAGGTGGTCACGTCCCCTCCGAGCCCATCCTCCGCCCTGGGCGGGCAGTGGCCGTGGGGGCCGCCTCTGGAGTGGACACCAGCGTGCCAAGTGGACTTCCAGCCTCCACTCGCCAGAGGCAGAGCCCGTGTCCACGGGTCCCGTGTCTGTCCGTCTTCACGGGGGGCCCCATCACCAGCCCTGCCCGGAAGCCAGGGACCCCCGCCCGGCTGGCGGGTGCCGGTCTCCCCAGATCAAGACCGGCGTTTGCTTCTCTTCCTGGAAGGCTTGCGCGCCTTCTCCTGTCCCCTTCTGTCTCCGGAGCCCTTGCTGCTCACTGGGCAGCTCTCCCGACTCCGTCCCCAGCTGAGATTTCCTTCTTCATGCTCGCTGCTTAGAGACGTTTCTTCCTGAAATATCTGCGTTTATTCTCTGCATCTCAGCGTGACTGTCCTCCCCATGAGCTCCCTGACGGAAATTCCACGTTTATTCTCTGCATCTCAGCGTGGCTGTCCTCCCCATGAGCTCCCTGACGGAAATTCCGCTGGGAGAGTGTTCACTTTTCAGCTCTGAAAGTCTGGTGGAGGGCACTGGGCTCAGGCCCCTCCTCTTGTGGTCTCACTGGCACGGGCTCCCTGAGTCGGTCAGTCTCCTGGGATGCTGGCCCCCTGAGACCGGGTCAGGTCGGGGCCTGGTGCTCTGGGTCCAGGCCCTCCTGCACCAGCTGCTGCCGTCCCCGCCACGCTTCCCAGCACTTCCCGGCCTCAGGTGTGGGCTCCGGCAGCCTTCTCAGCTCCTCTGGGGCTCTTGGTTGGAGAGAGGCAGGGTTGGACCAGGCCCCCAGATCCCAGCCTGGTGTCCCCAACACCGATTTCTCACCCGGGGGGTCCTGGGGAACCCAAAGCCCGCTGTCCCTGGAGGTCAGCCCCCGTCTGAGGGTGGGAGCCCAGGGCGGAAGCCACCTCCCTCGGACCCCCTTCCCTTCCTCAAGCGGTTCATCTGTTATTTATTCACTGCTGCTCCCGCCAACGGGCTGTTGGGTGACGTCCTCACCCTACACGACCCGATTCCGGCGCGATCACTCACTGCACTTGTTCTGAGCTTGGTCGGGAGACCCACCTGGACCCCTGCTCAGAAGGCGCTTGGGCCGCCGGTGGGGGGTGGCCCTGCTCCCCCAATGGATTCAGAGTATGTGGGGTGGAGGCCTGCTCTGTCCTGGGTGGAATTGGGGTGTCCGGGGGGGGACGGCCTCCGTCCCCGTTACGGGTCACCTGTCTCCACTCCATGTCCCCTCTCCTGCTTTGTCCTCTCCTTCCTTAACTGCTAAGTCATCCCTGCCATGCCTGACTGCCCACATGGGTGCTCCTGGGGCCTCTCTGCTGCCAGACAGCCTTGGGCGGGGGGAGGGAGGAAGAGCCGCCCCCCTGCCCCCAGGTAAAGGCCGAAACCCTGGGTGGCAGGGCCTGCGCTGCGAGGGCGGGGGCCCGGAGATGCGTGGACCGCAGGCGATAATGGTGGGCGCCCTGCCCAGGACCTGCTTCTGGGAGTCAGCAGCCCGGCGGCCTCATGCTGTGAGCCATGTTCGCCTGCAGATGGCGCCTTGGCCAGGACGCAGCCTGGGCACACAGCCCCGCAGGGCCCAGCAGCCGACCTGCCGCCGGCCAGGGTGCGGCCACAGCCCCACAGGGCGTCCTCCCACTCCCATCAGACCCCTGCGTCCTGACTGGTACCTGGTCCATGAGCTTGGATTCCTGAGTCCTGGGCCCAAAACGAGTATCAGGACAGGAGGGTCCGGCCCTGTCAGTGGCTACGGCCCCATCCCTTCCTGCAAGCTGCCTGTGGACGGTCAAGCCCACGGCGGCACCATCCGATCTCCACGCACCAGCCACCAGCCAGCCCAGGGGAGTGACCCCTATGGCCTGTCCACGTCTCAGAAGGATGTAGCGCAGAGGTGTGGCTGGGACATGGGCCCTGGGCCCTGTCTGTGGAGGTGGAGTCCCAGGTGACCGCAGGTGGTCCTGAGGTGGGGTGCGGACCCCACATGGACACATATCCTGGCCTGGGGATGCCTTGCCTGTTGGTGGGGGCGGGGGGCCCTCTTGCTGGGCTGAAGGGGGGTAGCGGTGTGTCCTCAGGCACCGGCAGTGCGTCACCCCCTCTGCCCCCTTGTGCCATCCCCATGGGGCAGGGAGCCCAGTGCTCAGGAGGGAAGGAGCAGACCTCGCGGGGCTCAGGGCTGCGTGTTGCCACGTGTTTCCAGCCTGCATGTCCCAGTGCAGTGTTCTCTTCGGGCCAAGGACTGCTGACGGTGGGCTCCTGGCAGCCTGAGGCACAAGGAGAGCAGGGTTCAGAGGAGAAGCTCCCGCCCCAGCATACAACCATCAGCCTCCATTTCTTCCCGGGGTGGGGGTGGGGTGGCGGCAAGCAAGTAGCAAGCGACCCTGGGCCTTTCCAAACCCTGGGGGTAAAGAGCCGCCCCCCCCAGCCCTGGGCTCCCTGTGCCCCCAGCCCTGGGCTGGGTTAGGGTCGGGGGGCCTGGGGCACTGAATCCTCCAGGCCTCAGGTGCCACTTGGGCAAGGACACAGGAGGGCACAGGTTATGGGGTGGGTGGGGTTATGGGAAAGCCCTCTAGGAGGCACCAGACCCCCTACCAGGGCTGTTCGGCATCTCCACTGGCCCAGGCTCAATACCAGTGGGGGGCAGGTGCTGCACGGAAGACGGCCCAGCTACAGGGGAGATCTGTGCTGGTGGTGGTGGTGGTGGTGGTGATGATGGTGGTGGTGGTGGTGGTGACAGTGGCAGTGGGGAAGAGGATGAGAGCAGCGCATTCTTACAGACTCATTACCCGGTGCTTGGTGAAATCAACGCCCTCATCCGGGCCCTGCTCTCCTCCCTCCCAGCAACGGCCGGCCGAGCTGCCACGAGGTGGCCTGGGCCGAGCACCAGGGCCCACCCCGGCTCTCACATCCTTGCGCTCTGGGCACTGGCTCTGGAGAGACCGTGGTTTCTGACCCATGGCTCTGGCCTGCGGTTCCCCTGTGACCAGGCACTCTCGGTTCCATCTCAGAAGCACCTGGCTTTGGGAGAGCTGGCCTGAGCTGCAAGAGACGCCCCTGCCAGGCCGCCGAGGGGAGCTCCAGGCAAGGAAGTGGAGCAGCCCCGGAGGGGGTGGGGGGAGGACACCAGCCACCCGGCCGGGCAAACCCAGAACAGGCTGGTGACGGTGACAGCGTTCCTTCCGGTCACAGGGAGGCCTCTGGGAATCTCCCACCTCATGGGAGAGACAGAGGGTGACAAAGGCAAAATTACTTCCCGCGGTGCCGGGCAGGGCTCACGGGCTCTCCCGTGGGTGAAGGCAATAGGAGGGACACTGAGCTGGGGTGTGGACGGGTCACCCTGAGAGACTGGGGGGCCGGCAGGGAGTCAGGGAGTGAGGGCCAGGCTGCCGCGGGGTGAGTCCCGGGGCTCCTCCAAGAACCAGCACAGGACCTCTGGGGGTCACAGAGCAGCCGCTGCCCGGAGCACCTCTGCTGCCCTCCTGCCGGCTCGTGGCCACCCGACTCCACCCTAGTGAGGCGCTGACGGCCTCCTGTCCCCCTGCATGCCACCACCCTGCCCGTCTGGCCAGACTAGCCGCCACGGTCACCCTGCCAGCACCCCGGGCCGGCCAGGCCGAGGGCCGGGTACCGCGCAGGCCCCGCAGCGGCTGTGTGCCTGCAGCCAGGGAACGGAGGCTTTAGGGCCAAAGTCCGGACACCTAGGGAGAGGCTCCCGGCCCAGTTCTCCCTCAGTCGGGGCGCAGCTCTCAGTGGGCAGCTGCCGGGGCCCTGCCTGTCTGGGGCTGTTCTCTCCAGGATCTGCCGGCCTCGCTGACCCGCCGGCACAGGGCTGGCCCCGGAGGGGGCCTGGAGGAGGGAACACCAGCTCAGGAAGGAGGCGGCGGCATGTGGGGGTCAGGACCCGGGATCCCTGGGCTGATTAGGCCCCTCTGAAGGAATCTGCATTTTAGTCTGGTGTCTGGAAGTTCCCCGGGCCTTCCAGAAATCAGAAAGGAAGCGGGGAAGCCCGCGGGGAGCAAGTGGGTGGGGCTGGGCTGGGAGTGGGCAGGTCTGCCTGGTAAGGTCCTGAACAGACACCCTTTGAGATGCAAACAACCTCCGGTCAGCTGACTCTTCTCTCAATACCCTCCCTCCTGGAGAAAGGGCTTTAAAAATGGCTTCCGTGCTCACTTAGGAAATACCAGGCACGGGGCAGGTTGGGGCCCAGGCTGAGAGAAAGCAGCGCGGGCCGCCCTTCTCCCTAGCGCTCTCCCCTCTCAGCTCGGTGCCGCTGCCCCCACCGTGGGAGCTGCAGGGTGGTCCTCGGGGCCCCAACCCCGCCCACAGCACACACCCACCGCTGCATCCCCGCCCCCGCAAGCCCAGCGTGTCCTCAGGTGTATCTGTCCGCCCACGGCAAACTGCTGCTGATACCTGGGAGTTCCCCGGAAGCCCCCTTCCTCACCTCAACCCCGGCACCTCTCGGAGGGCCCCCTTCTGTGCACTCCCACACCCACCTCTCCAGCCCCGCCAACAAGCCGCCAGACTTGTGCTGCCCAAGCGGCCTCGTGGGGCCCCTTCTCCCTCTGGTGGACGCCTGCTGGCCCAAGCATCGCGGCCCCGGGCCCTCTTTCTGGACATCCCCGTCTGCACACAGTGCCCCGTGCACACAATGACACGGCCCACGCGCAGTGCCCCCACCAGCTCCGAGATGACCCGAATGCCCGCTCCCCGGTGCTGTGTGTCCCCAGTGCCCAGGAAGGGCGACGCCCAGCAGGCATCCCCGGCACGCTGGCGCCTGTGCTGAGCGGGTGGGCAGCCTCTGGCCAGTCCCCCTCCCAGTGCCTGCAGGGGTCCCTGTTGCCTGGCCTTTCTGCTCCAAAGTCAGCCCCGCCCAGCTCTGGAGAGAGGAGGCTGCAGAAGGCCTGGGGTGCAGACTGCAGTCAGGCCCCCTGGGGTCCGGCAGTCACAGGGAGGGAGCGGCTGGGCTGACCCTGGAGAGGTGTCAGGTGCCCGAGGCCTCCTGCTGGGGTCCCTCTCTCCGCTGGGGAGGTCGGGTGTCTGCTGGAACCCAGGCCTTGCAGGCGACAGGCTCTCGCTCTGCTCTCAGGCCTCCCCGGGGGCTGCTTGGGGCCGGACTCTGGCTCATGGGGCCTTGATCCCCAGCCCCGTACAATGCTGGGCGGTGGAGCCCTGCGAGGTCTCCGCGGGCGCCTGGCTCCGCCTGGGCTCCTCTCAGCCGGCTCCCCGCGCCGCGCGGCCGCCGGAGGGCGAGGCCGAGCGGCGCCGCGGCGGCCCCACTGTCCGCGGCGGCGCCGGGGGTGGCGGCCCCGGCGAAGGTCCGAGCCGGGCGGGCCCTGGACGGCTCGGAGGGGCGGGGCCGGCCGGTGGCGGCGGACGGGTAGTCAGGACAACCGACCGCCTGCTGGTCTCCGGTGCCCAGCTGAGCGCAGCGAGCCCGGCTCAGGGGACCCGGCCGGGACGCGCTCGGGGCAAGGTCACTGCAACAGTGACCTGGGGGCGGCCCGCGGGGTCCCGAGCCGCGAGCGGGACGCGCGAGTGCTCAGGAAAGTCGAGAGCTGGTACTGGGCTGAAGGCGCGTGGGAGCGGGGCCCGGGCGGGGGTCCGGCGTCTGCTTGTCCCCTCCACCTCCCACTCCCCCCATCAGCGGCCCGGCTGCGTGCGCCGGGGAGCCCCAGTCTCGCTCGGGGAAGGGAATCCTTTCCATTGTGAACTGGCCGCGTGGCTCCCTGGCCCTTCCGGCCGCACCAGGGGTCGCACGGAACCCAACGTTTCCCCGGCTCCCCGGGGTCACGCGACCTACACTTGTGGACTGATCACCCTCCCTAACCCCGCTGCGGGTAGCCCGGAGCCGAGTGCGTGCCCTCTCGTCACCCAGCGAGGCGCCGAGCACACGGGGGGGTCGTCAAGTGCCCCAAGGGGGTCGTCAAGTGCCCCCCCCAGGCGGCGAGGTCGAGACTGGGCCGCTGCGGCGGGCCCGCCGGTGTCCCCTCGGCGCCCCGCGTCTCCGCGGCCCGACCCCGCTGGGCTTCCTGCTCGCGCCGCCGGGACTTCCTCCCCGCAGTGCCCGGGTGGCCACCCGGGCGCCAGACCCGGAGGCGGGGAACCCGGGGACACGGGCAGGGCGGGGGGGGGGGGCTGGGGCGAGGAGAGGGGAAGACACCCTGGAGCCGGGAGGGGCAGGCGCCCCGGGTGGACCCCCGGCTGGAGAGGAGGGGGTCCTTGGACCCGGGGCCGGGGCAGTTCTCCAGGCTCCGGCTCTCAGGTCCTCTCCGCGGGCGCTCGCGGCCAGCGTCGCCGGGGGTGGAGCGCGGCCCTGCTCCATCCTGCCCCATCCTGACCGTTCGGTGGGGCTCCGCAGTGCGTCTCCACGCCGAGTGTGGAGGCCGCACGGCCCGGCGCGCGTCTGTGGGCGCGGGTGCCCCGCGCGCCCCTCCCGGCGCCCCCGGCCCGCTCGCGGAGGCCGCCCCGAGCGGAGCTTTGTGACGTCAGGCGGCCGGCGGGCCGCGTCACGCGCGGGGCTGACCCGGCGCGGGGCGGGGGCCGGGCCGGGACGCGGAGCATGGAGCCGCGGGCCGGCTGCCGGCTGCCCGTGCGGGTGGAGCAGGTCGTCAACGGCGCGCTGCTGGTCACCGTGAGCTGCGGCGAGCGCAGCTTCGCCGGGATCCTGCTGGACTGCACGAAAAAGTGAGCGGGGGCGGGGGCGCGGGCCCCGGGACGCCCCCGGAATCCCCTCGGGACAACCCCCACCCCGCGCGCGCGCTGGCCCAGGGCCGGGGCTGCTCCGGGGCGGGGCAGCGTGGCGCCGGCGCCCGCTTTCGGTTTCTCCAGCCCCGGGTTCGGGGTGCGCGAGCGCGGCCGCCACTCGGGGGGGAAAAGTGGTTCTCAAAGTCGTCGCGACTTTTCGGGCAGGGGACGGCGCAGCCGGGCGGGAACAGCGGTGGGCGCCGAGCCGGAGCCTGGGCGCGGCGCGTGGAGCCCGAGACCCCGCGCCCACTGCCGCGCCACCCGGCTCCGAACTCCGCACGTCTGCCATAATTAACGCACTTTTCTTTGTTCAGACTCACTGTTGAATTCGGCTGTCTTCAGAATTGTCATCCGCCGGGGTGGGGGCAGTGGGTTCAGATGCGCTGCCGCGCTTGCCCTGTCAGTTACTCACGAGGGGGGGGCGGTGTGTAATGTAATGCCCCCCCAGGAGCAGTCGGGGCTGAGGTGGTAAGGATTGCTAGCTAGCAGTTGTGTCCAGCGGCGGGATTTAAAAACACTGTTTCGGGCTGAGGAGCCCCAGGCAGAGCAGGAATGAAAAGATACAAGTTTCAGAGCTGTGCTGAGCTCCCTTCGGGAGCCGGGATTCTCTGCTGGAGGGGTCCCTGGGCAGGCCTGGGGGCAAGTCCATCCTGAGAGGCACCTGTGTGCCGGCTGCAGGGATCCCTGCAGCGGAAAGAGTCTCCTGGATACAGTGTCACATGGTAGTGAGCTGTCGCGCAGATAAATGATTAGGCATTAATCAGGCACTAATGTCTTGAGGCTCAGGCTGGGCCTTATTTTGAACCGGGAGCAGTAAACGGCTCCCCTTTGCAAAGGCCCAACTTTTTCCCTCAGTGGAGCCCAGATTTTGTGCCGGCGGCGGGGGTGTGGCAGGAGGACCATCCCCTCTCAACGGCCACTCTGCTGGCATCATCTCCTCATTAGATGTGCCAGAGCCATTTATGTGCAAGTCACGTGATTTAACATATGGCGTCCCAGGTGACTGTCGCCCTGCTCTGCTGCTGCTGCAGAGAGTGCTTGGTGGGACCTAGTGACCCTCCGGGGCTGCAGCATAGCCGCTCGGAAGCCGCCAGCCCTGTCCCTCGGGGCGGCTGAGGGTCCTCTGCCACCAATGGCCACCACTTCCTCCGCCGGCCTGCTCCTGGGTCTGTGCAGGGCTGCACCCCAGCGCTGCCTGTGCAGCCCTGCCTGGCCTTTCCTCCCTGAGAGGGGCCCTGGCAGGAGAGGTCCCCCCGCTCTTCGTGTTCTGGGCTCCCTGACTCAGGGCAAGGGAGGCTGGGGGTGCCGGCAGAGGCTGCCGGCCCCCCGCCCTTGGTCTCTGCCTCCAGGCAGGGCTCCCGTCCCTACAGCCCGTGGCTAACCTGATGTGGAGATCTGCACCCCCCCACCCGCTTCCCCACCCCCTCGTGGAAGGAAGCAGGCTCTGCTGGGATCCCAGCATGGGAACTGGCAGCTGTAGGACGTGTGGGCGGCAACCCTGCCATGGCCACATAAGGCTGTAACCGGAGCCGCCCACAGAACCAGGAGCTGGGCCTCGGTGGGCACAGCTCTGCTCAGCAGCTCCTCTTTCTGACTTGAGTGGGTCCCCCCGCCCGCCCCCAGTCCCTGAAGAGAACCTGAGGAGAGACCTGGCCTCTCCCAACCCCTCCGGTGTCTGGGCTTGGCCCCGAAGCTGCCCCTGTCCCTGCCCACCCCCCCTCCCCTCTGCGGGGCGCCTCCAGTTTCGTCCCGATCCCAGTTTTCTACCATGATATCGTGAGTTGCAACGCTCGTGTTTACAGCCGGCTTGTCGGACAGGGTCCAGAGGCAGCTTACGACCTGGCCTGGGTGTTTCTGGCAGAGGGGCCCGGCCTCGAGCCTCGGGGGTCCGCAGCACCAACCTGCCTCCCCTGGGGCCGGTCTCTCCTCAGGGCCCACTCCCCTTACCCCGTATGTCACGGTGGCAGGGCCGGTCAGTGAGGCCCCATCCCGGGCGTGGGCACTGACAGGCGGGCAGAGCAGCTGGAAGCTCAGATTGCAGGTGCCTGCCCACCTCCTGGGGCCTGTGGGTCCCAGGGCAGCAGGCCGGTGTGCCTGTGGTGCCCCAGCCGGGCGCAGACCAGTCACTGCCACGTGTCAGCACTTCTCGAGCTCGTGGGCAGCCCCCGGGGGCCTAGGAGAACAGAGGGGTCCCCCGGGAGGGGCAGTTCACGCAGCGGGGCCCAGCAAGCAGTGTTCATTTGGGGGCACTGGGGCGGCAGCACCCCTCCCTTGGTGCTCTGGGAGCTCTGGGCTGAGCGTCTGTCTGTCCACGGAGGCCAGGCGAGCCGTGGACCTGCTGGCAGGCCGCTGTGTGGCCTGAAGCAAGGCCCTTGGCTGCCCTGAGTGCCTGTGGCTCCTGCATCCACGTTCACTCACTGAGCACCTACTGTGTGCCGGGGAGTGGCCTTAAGTCCTGGCATAACTGCTGTGGTGCACGGTCCTCAAGTATCTGTGGCGGGCGGTGTTCGTTCTGACACATAACGATGGCCCCGGCCTACCCTGACCCCACAGCTCCGCTCTCCAGGCTGGGGTGCAGGGGAGGCCTCTTGTGGGTGATTTGGGGGTGGACCTCTGGTTGAGAACCTCAGGTGGGGTGTCCCAAAGACAGCAAAGTCGCCGAGTGCTGAAGGGACGGTCTCCCGGTCGGTGGGCACGAGGGCCAGCTGCCTGTCCGGCCTGGCCAATCCAAAGCCTCCGGCCTTGACCTCTAAGTGCGCGTTTCGTAAACTTCCCCAGCGTGAGTCACCCAGGGTGCCGTTATCACACAAGACTCCGGGGCCGCAAAGGTTGGGTACGGGCCTTTGGGACCCACACCCGCCCGGGGGGCTTGGGACCCAGGCTTCTGGACACTCAGCTGGCCAAGAATCCCAGCCATGGCCCGTCCTGGGCAGGAGAGCGCCCCTGCTCCATCCCGGACACGCCCCCTGTCCAGGCCCCACTGGGCTTGTCCTCCCTGCCCTTGGGGAGCTGGAGGGACTGAGGGTGCGCAGTGCATCACAGGGTGGTATGACCTGCAGCCAGTAGGCAGGTGCCTCACCAAGGGACCTGGCCGGCATGGCTTGTCTCTGGAGCTGCTCCACGGAGGGGGTGGGGGCGTGGGCTGGGGGCCTGGCCTTGTGCTCCTGGGAGGAGGGGCGCAGTCACCTGAGTCTTATTGGAATGATGTTGATGGTTCTTCAGCCTTTGGTCCAGGACTCTGGGGGCCAGCTGTGGCCGAAACCCTAGGTTGATACCCACAGGGGAGGGGCAGGGTCCCACGTGTGGCCCTGGACGAGGGGCCACTCTGGCATCCAGGCTGCAAGTCCCCGTGTCATCCTGCTTTCCCCAGCTCCCTGAGCAGAGGTGGACCTCCGTGCACAGCAGCCTGACACCCACCTGCCCCTCCCCTCCCTCGGGGCTCCAGCCCTGCGGCTGTCTGTCGGCAGGGCTTTGGGAGAGAGAAACGGCGTACAGCCTGGCCAGCCGCAGGGTGGGCCTCGTCTCGGGACACGGGCCTGTCTTGGGACTGACTGCAGCCTCTGCCCACAAGGTACCTGCTGCACGAGGCTGCCCTAGGCACCTGGCCCTGGGCTTTGGCCCCCAGGATGTTTCTGTTCCGGAGCCACGTCTTCTCACCTCTTTACAGGACACCGGGGTGGCCTCTCCCTGTGGGAGGACAAAGAAGGAAGGTCCAGGGCAGATGGGGACCTGGCCGGGGCCAGAGGCTGCCAGTGGGCACCAGAGACGCTTGGGCCCCAGGCCTGCCGGGAGGGTGGGGGTGGGGCGGCCGCAAGCTCTGGCAGGCGGCAGGGCCCCTCCTAGCTGTGGGCCCGTCCAGGCCCGCTGCTCTCCGAGGGGCGCTAGGCTGGAGGCACAAACGAGCCCCAGGGACGTGTGGGAGCCGAGGCTTGGCCACTGGTGTCCCATGGAGGACTGCAGGCCAGGCCGCTTCTCTCTGGGTCCCTGTGTCCATGCCGGTGGCCATGCCCTCACCTGGGCAGAGCGGAGGGTGACCCTGGGGACTCTGTCTCCTGTCCCCTTGGGGGCAGAACCGCTCTGCTTTGGGGTCTGATCCCTGTAAGCCTCCTGGCTGAAGCTCCCTGTGCGAACTTCTCGCCCGGGCTCGGCCTCCCCAGCCTCTCCTCAAAGCGCAGGCCACCTGCCCCTCCCCTAGCTCCCCAAGGACGCGGTGCTGAGGTTTGCTCAGGGCCCCTCGGGTTTCCGCGTGGGCACGTTGGCTGGCCTTGCGCTCCCGGTCGAGGCTGGGCCAGGCCCTGGCTCCGCCCGTGAGTCACCCCTGCGGGGCCCTGTGAGTCCAGACCTTCCGCACCGCAGAGGGCAGGACAGTGCAGGCGCCTGGGTCCCTCACGCTGAGCCTGGCAGGCCATCTCTCTGGCTCCAGGGCCACCCCAGCTCTCTGCCTGCCAGGGCCCTGCAGTATCACGTGTGGGGCTCTGCCAGGCCGGCCAGGGCCTCTGTCCCTGGGTGTAGGCCCACGTGGGCACAGCCCAGCTTCTCCGAGGGGCCCGGCTTCTCCGGTCGGGCCACGCCTTGCGCCTGGGGGTCCAGCATGCCCCCCTCGGCGGACAGGTTGCCGAGGTCCTTCCCAGAGAGAGTGGCCTTGGCTGGTGCTATCCCCGCGCCCAGAGGCAGCAGAGCTGGGGCACGAGCACGGACCCCGCCCGTCCCCCGACCCGCTGGTCTCCCTGGTCTCCCTCAGCTTCACTGTCCCATCCGAGAAATGGGAATGATGATGACGGCGCCTCATGGGGCTGTAGACAGAGAACCTGCTCGTGGTCTGCAGCCCGGCAGCCAGGGTCCCGCTGGCCCTGTTTACCCACCGGCAGGCGTGGGTGTGGCCTGGGCAGGGCAGCAGCTCTGGGAAGGAAGTGTCCGAGTCACGGGGCCCGCCGTGGCAGCCGCAGTGCCATTCCACCGGGCCGTCTGCAAGGAACCTCCCCCTCTAGGCTGCAGCCACAGCCCTGTGGGCAGAGGGGGCATGCATACCAGGGCACGGCTCACAGCCGAGGCTGCCTCCCAGTTTGATCTGCCTGGGCAGGGCGGCGTCGACTGCCAGACCCTGTCTGCGTCCGGTGGGTGCAGACCCAGCCCACCCAGGGCCCCACAGCTTACTGCTGTGGCTCAGGGCCTGGGTCTCTGGCCGTCCTGAACATGCAGAGACCCCCTGAGGGCTGTGTGTGATCAGTGGGGCGAAAAGCTCCCTGAATGGGCCACAGCTGCAGTCTTCAGGGCCACCTGTCCCCAGCCTGTGTGCGCAGAGAGGTGGCCAAGGAGACTGCAGAGCCCCCCGGGCCGGCTGGCCGAGGGCACAGTCCAAGCCTAGGAGGGTCCTGGAGGGCAGGTAGGTTGGGGGGTGGGGGATGACGGGAAAGGGGCTGCCCAGGGGTCCTGCTCCTGGGGTCCCTGGGCCCCAGCTGGCAGGAGGGGCTCTGCACCAGCACAGGCAGGCTGACTGGGGGCACAGGCCAGGCTACGGGGGGGCCGTGAGGAACAGAGCCCTAGGAGGGAATACAGGCTGGGTCCTAGTGGGGTGACAGCCCAGGGGCCTGGGAAGGTGGAACGGGGTGCAGATGAGAGGGGGGTGTCAGAGTGAGCCCCCAGTTCATGGCCTGGGTGCCTGTGAATGGTGGGCAGGAAGTGGGTTTTGGGGAGGCCTTGGGAGAAACCCTGCAGCCCCAGATATGTGATCCAGCCTGGTGTGTGGGCCCCCGGTGCGCGTGTGTGCACACGTGTGTGGATGCACGCTTGCACGCATGTGCGTGGGGTTAGTTTGCCAAATTCTCAGCCTGTTCCGAATGCCCACGAGGGGCTTGTTGAAGGGAACGAGCCAGGTGCGGGGTCCAGTGCCCGCTCTGATGCCTGGGACTCGGGTGAGGTTTGGTGACACACCAGCCTGTCACGCCCCTGGGTGGGGGCTTGTCGCCCACACCTGGGCACAGGCAGACTTTTTCCGTGAAGGGCTGGTGGCCATGCGGTGTCTGTCACAGGTGCTCAGCAGCGCCGCAGGGGCCCTGCATGGGCAGCGGGCGTGGCCGTGTGTCAGTCACACCTGACTTACAAAACCTGGTGGCTGACTTGGCCTGGGGGCCATGGGGTGTGGAACCTCTGTGCCCAGTGCCTGACCCGGGGCTGGTGAGAGGGCGGCTGACAGCCAGGGCATGATCCTGGGACCCCCTTTCCCACCCCTGTTCCCCTGAAAGTCTCCGCCCATCCTGGTTTGGAAGTCATACATGCCTGTTTCCCGTGGTGGCTGCAGGAGCCGTGAGACATGCCGCGTGCGGCCACCACTGACAGACGTGGTCTGTGGTTCTTGTTGTTGCCATTGGTCGGCTGGGACTTGGGGGCCTGTGGCTGCGGGGCCGCAGTGGGTGCCAGTCTGGTGGGAACGGCTTGGTCCTTCCAGGGAGAGGGGCCCTTGAAGAGCCACATGCCCACGGGTGATGGGGAGGGGGGGAGGGGAGGGATCGCAAGGGCTGCCCCCCACCCAGCGCAGAATCCCACCTCACAGGGGGCCAAGTCCCCTACTGCTGGCCTGTGGCTGGACGCTCCCCGCTAGGCTACTGCCATCTCTCTTTCTCTCTCTCTTCCTGTACTCCTCCCCCTCCCCTCTTCTCCCTCAGTCATGGTCACAGGTCACAGGTCACAGGTCAGCCATCTGAATGAGCTGCATCCTCCCTGGCCAAGCAGAGGGCAGGTGGCCGTGGCCCTGGTTTGCTGGACCCTGTAGACGCAGAAGTCATTTTTGAGAAATGACTTTGAGAAACAGCAAAGCTCACTTATCTTTTCTCCTCTGATTGAATTACAAAAGGGAGGGAGACACTGAGATACAATATTCTAATCCTCGTTTCTCTCAACTTGGCTAAAAGTCTGTTCTGTGCTTTAAAAAAAGTGAAAACTAACAGCTTTCAGCTAAAGCAGTTCTTACAAGTTAAATCGCATGTGTTTAAAGTTATGTGTGTCACCGCCGAAGAAAGCTGTAGCCTGATTGGCCTTGGTGTTCCTTACTTGGAGCAAATGTGTTTTCCTGTGGCTCCCAGGGCAGCTTGCTGGTCAGATGTGACTTCCCGACATTCCCAGCGCGGGGCCTGGGGGGTGACGGTCATTGGCTCTAGAAGGGCGCTTCTCCCAAGCCATTTGATGCCGGGACATCCGAGTGGAGGCTGCCGGCCCCGAGCTTCCCGGGGAGAGAGTCCCGCCTGGGGGGCCCCGGAGGTGCCGGCCACACGCTCAGGCTCAGCTGTGGGTCCTCGCGGGAGGGGGGCCTCCTGCTTTCTCTGGCCCCTTCCCACGGGTCACGTGGCCTTATCAGTGCCGCCTGGCCCTCTGTGTCCTGGAGCTGGAGGTCCTGAGGGAAGGGGCCAGGAGTGCTGGCAGGAGGGGTGGTCCTTCCAGGTTGTGGTGGGCAGGGGCGGCCTGAGTGATGCCCTCACCTGAGAGCCGTGGAAACAGGTGGGCCCAACTCAGCATTCAGGAGGGAGCGGGCTCAGTTTGGTGGCTGACCCCTGTCCTTGCTGGGCCTGGCCACGAGTGGCCCCCACCCCCAGACACACGTCCGGCACCCGGGACCCCGGTCCCGTGGGCTGTCCTGGGACTGGGGGTCCTCCCAGGGACACACGTGGGGTCTTCCCTCTGGGAGTGCTTCCCTCAGGGAGGAGGGGCCTGAGCGGGTGAGGCCTGTGAGTAAGGGCCGCTGGCCACACAGCAGCCGGCCCCCCGCAGGCCTGGTCAGGCCCGTCCCAGGAGCCAGACCCCGTCCCCAGGCTTCCCGGGCCCCAGGCCTGCACCGGGTCCTGGGAGGCCTCCAGCTTCGAGCCCGCATTCGCCTTGTTGCCACGAAGTGCGGTGTGGGTGCTCGGTGCTGTCGGGCCATCGGTCTCCATGCGGGCGGGTCGCGTGACTTCGGAGCACAGCGGGCAGCTGGGATGCCCCCGGGGCATGTGCCGGGCCCTCCGGAGTGGGGTCTGCTCACGGCGGCGTCCTCTCTGTCCTGACCACCCCTTTCTGTCTCCCCACCACCAGGTCTGGCCTCTTCGGCCTGCCCCCGTCAGCTCCACCGCCCCAGGCCCAGGACCCGCCTGTCAACGGCTGCCACGGGCCGGCCCCCACGGAGGGCGACACAGAGGCGATGCAGCTGGGGACAGGCCCCCCGCCACCTCCCAGTGGGGACCAGGCCCCTGGGACCGCCAGCCCCGAGCCGCCCCTGCTGCCCGCCGGAAGCCTGCCCCCGTTCCCGCCCTATTTTGAAGGCGCCCCCTTCCCTCCCCCACTCTGGCTGAGGAACACGTACCGGCAGTGGGTGCCACAGCCGCCCCCCCGGGGCATCAAGAGGACACGGAGGCGCCTGTCCCGCAACCGCGACCCTGGCCACCTGGCCCTGAGTCCCATCCGCCTGCGGCCCCGCCAGGTGCTCTGCGAGAAGTGCAAGAGCACCCTGAGCCCCCCAGAGGCCAGCCCTGGCCCCCCGGCCCCCCCACAGCCGCGCAGGGAGCCCCGAAAGCCCGAGGACCCCAATGGTGGGGGTGACACCACCGCCAAGAGGAGGAAGAGGGAGAGGCGGCAGGAGGCGCGGGCCCGGGTCCCCCGGAGCCCGGTCATCAAGATCTCCTACAGCACGCCCCAGGGCACCGGCGAGGTGGTGGAGATCCCCTCCCGCGTGCACGGCTCGCTGGAGCCCTTCTGCCCCCCGCAGGCCCCGCCCGGAGGCCCGGACCCCGAGGTGCCTGCCTCCATCCCCAAGCTGAAGCTGACACGGCCCCTGCCCCCCAGCGCTGCCCCGCCGCCCCCCAAGATCCGCCTGAAGCCCCACCGCCCGGGGGCTGGCGAGCAGGAGCCCGTCTACAAGGCCGAGCTGGTGGAGGAGCTCAAGGGCTGTGGCCGCGGCCCCCGGGCCGGCTCACCCGCGCCCCTGGCTGACGGCTCTGCCCGCTCTGGGCTGGCGGACTCGTCTTCTGGAAGTTCCGGCGAGGACGACGACTGCAAGGGGTGTCCCCGAGGCGAACACGGGCGTGACGGCCTGGCTTTTCTCGCCGCCTGCCCCCGGAGAACTGGCTGTGCCAGCGTGTCGGTGTGCAGCAGCGACAGCCTGGACGAGTCCAAATCGTCCAGCTCGGAAGTGACGTCACCAGACATGTGTGACCTCTCGTCTGGCGACGGTGCGTCTGTGCCGGCCTCGTCCAAGGACGCGCGGCCGACGGTCCCACCCCTGACGGTCAGGCTGCACACGCAGAGCGTCTCCAAGTGCGTTACCGAGGATGGAAGGACCGTGGCCGTAGGGGACATCGTGTGGGGTAAGGTTCATGGTTTTCCCTGGTGGCCAGCACGTGTCCTGGACATCAGTCTTAGCCAGAAGGAGGACGGCGAGCCCTCCTGGCAAGAAGCGAAAGTCTCATGGTTTGGTTCTCCAACTACATCGTTCTTGTCTATTTCAAAACTCTCCCCTTTCTCTGAATTTTTCAAACTGAGATTTAATCGTAAGAAGAAGGGGATGTATCGGAAAGCTATAACAGAGGCTGCCAATGCCGCCCGACACGTGGCCCCGGAAATAAGGGAGCTCTTAACCCAGTTTGAAACGTAACTTGGGTTCCGACCAGGTGAGTGTGTGCGCGGAGGGCGGCCTCTCTCCGGCCGTCCCAAGCCCGTGTCTGCATCTGGGCTGTCCCTCCGCCCTGGGCCTCGGTGAGCCAGGGGGACGTGGACGCCCCTGGCCATCTGGCTCGCTGCTCCGAAGGGGGCCGTCTGGACAATCGCCCCGCTTGCTGGCAACATTGTCCAGCGTTTTGATTCACAGAAGAGGTGCTTTCAAAGCAGGCGAGTCGTCAGCCACCTGTTCAGAGAACAGAGCTAGTTTGTGTTTTGCGGCCATTTTGCAAAGGACCGTAAAAGGTCTCCTTGCTCTTTTCGTTTGCCTTTGGAGAAAGGAGACGGTTTCAAAGGTGGCGGCTCTGACTGAGGGGGCGGTGGTGAGCGCAGTGGGGGGCTTTCTCTGTTACTCACTCTTCCCAGGCTGCAGCCGGGGCCTCCCTCCCTCCCCTCCCCAGCCTCCTGCTTGCAGGTGCGTCCAGGGGTCTGACTTTGCCCGAAGGAGGAAAGTCACCGAGCTGCCTGCCCTCAGAGGTAGCGCCTACGGCCCAGCGCTGCTCTGCTGCTGCCAGTGGGGGCTCCCCTCTGTCAGCCGGCACGTGGGTCCTGGACATTGGTGCCCGGGGGCTCCAGGCTCCCGGTGGCGGGGCCGGTGCTCTGGGATCTGTCCCTGGGCCAGTGCCTCGCCCTCTGTCTCTGCCCCCAGGAGACCTTTGTAGGATCCCAGCCACAGGCCTTATGGAGCCTCTGTGGGGTTGGGGGTGTCACCACCTGGGGTTGGAAGCCTCACCTTGCACAGTTGCCGTGTCACCAGGTGGGGTGGGGCATCACCGTGTGGCGTGTCTGGCGGGGTGTCCGGAAACGGCCGAGGGGCTGAGGGCGTCTGCCATGAGCTTCCCCTGGGCCCCGAGGTGCAGGGAGATGTGGGTGTGCTCTCATCTGGTGGCTGCCACCAGCTCTGGCCTGGGCAGCGGGGTGTGTCCAGCGGGTCACTGGCACTGGTGGCCACTCTTCCCAGGTCTGACTGCCCCCTCTGTCCTCCCCTCGTTGGTCCCGGGCAGGCCATGGTCCCCCGAGGCTCCAGGCCGCCTGGGTGGACCAGAGGGGACATGACAGGGTCCCCTGTGAGGGGCAGCCTGTGGGGTCAGTGCTCTTCCTGGCCCAGTGGCCTCGTGCTCACGCCCACAGAAGCAGACGGCATGGCACGGGGCTGGCCCGGAGGACGAGCTGGGCCTCTGCCTTCACCTCCGGACCCTCGGGTGACCTTGTGTGGCCTGGCTGCCCTGCTCACCCACCTGTCTGTGCCAGTTTCCCGGGTGACGTGAGTTTTCAGGGCTGGGCAAGCCCAGCTCACGTGGCTGGGGAGGGGCTTTGTGGAGTGCTGGTGCCCGCTCCCTGCTGTGCCGGGTCCAGCGGGGTCCTGAAGAAGCAGTGATGAGGGGCACGTCTGGGCCGGGGTCCCTGCCGGGGCTCCTGAGGCCTTGTCCCCACCCCTCCCCCACCTGCTTCCCACGTCACCTCCAGCATGGCTCCCCGGATTCCGGGCACGAACTTCTCCTGTTGGGAACCAGGCACATCCCCCGTCAGTTCTGGCCTTCGTGTTGGGGCGTGGGCGCGGCACCGACCTGGGGGCATCCAGGCAGCTAGGGTCTCAGGTGAGGGCGGTCAGCTCACCTGAGGAGCAGCGGTCCAGAGAGAGTCCAGATGCCCTGGCATCGGGCTTCCTAGGGCATCTCCCTGCTGTGGCCAGGCTGAGGGACAGCCCTGGCTGCGGCCACGTCCGCTGGCCTGGGGACCACCGGGGATGGGGGGGCCCTGCCTCTCTCTGTGCCCTTCTGCTCCTGGCCCCGCCCCTCTGCTCACAGGGCCCAGCCGTCTTTGGCCTGGTGTCAGGCAGCTTGCCCACGTGCCCCTGCTGTGGGCAGAGGCAGCCCCGTGGGTTCAGGGCTCTGTATCAGGAAGCAGAGGAGGAATCCCGCCGGACGGGTTTGCCTGCTGCGGGGCCTGTGCCCCCCGCCCCCGCGGGGTGTGGGGCTTTGGGGGCGCGGCGGGGCGGCCTGGATCCTCTCGCGCCAAAGCACCAATGGTTTAGGCTGATGGGCTTCTGGGTTTTGTTTCTTGAGGCTTAAAGACTGAGCTGAGGTTGTGCCAGCCAGTGGCTGATCTGCTGGCGTCAGCAAGCCTGGGCCTCGTGCTCAGGTGGGGTCCGCGGTCTCCTGGTGGACACGTTTGCTTGCAGGTGTCAAGTGTCTGGGGAGCAGCCGTCCAGGCTGCTCCTTGCAGGGGAAGCAGGGGACTGCCCTCACCGGGGAAGGTGGGCTTCCCCAGACAAGCTGAGGGCTGCGGGGCTGGTGCAGGAGGGTCCCGGCAGAGCTTGGGTGAGGTGCTTGCTGGTGGCAGTGCCCCGTGGTGGTGCTGAGGTAGGGGCCAGGGTCACCAGCACCCGGGCACGTCCTGGCAGGAGGAGGGACCTCCCAGCGGGCGTGGGCCCCCCGGGCCCCCCACGGGAGGGCTGGGAGGCTGGCACAGGGCCCTGGAGCTCGGCCGGGAGGCCTGCTGGGGAAGGTGGTTCTCCCGGCCCCACCCACCGGCCACCCCGGCCTGGCCCAGCTGACCCTGCAGACACCTGAGGACGGCTGAGGCGGTGCCAGGGGCTCCTTGGGATTTGGGCTGTCCGTGCTGCCCACAGGTGTGTCAGGAGAGTCTCAGCAGATGTGGGGCTGGGCCCCTTCCACGGGCGTGTGCCCAGCACCTCTTCCCCGAGAGACTCTGCCCCCTTTGCAGGGCTGCTGGAGGCTCGGCTAAGAGGTGGGTGCCCACGCGGACGTTGTGAGAGTTGCGGAGCCGGCCTGGGGCCTGGCGGCCAGGGCGCTGGGGAGAGGCCAGTGGGGCTGGCTGGGCACAGGGGCTCTGAGCAGGCACCTCCCCCAGGGTGCTCGTGTGCCCCGTTGGGGCGCATCTCCCGAGGACTCCGGGCCCTGCCCTGGCCCCAGCAGGCTGGCGACTCTGAGCCCCCGTTTCCCCATCTGTCTCTGGGTAGGGGGGGAGTGAGGGGACTTGTCTGCAGCCGGCTTTCCAGCTCTGCTTTCCCGGGGGTCCTCCCATGTCCCCTCGGGGTGGGGCCGGGGTCGTGCTCCTGACTGGATGGGCTGGGCAACTCCTGCTGCCCACTGGTCAGGGGGGCAAGGGTCCTGCAGGGGGGACAGGGATGCCCTGAGTGCGGGGCTGGCCCCCCAACCTGACAGGTGACAGCGACTCCTCCCGGGGGTGGTGTGACCCCAGGCCTCTTCCTCTCAGACCCGGTTACGTGCCTCTTCTCTCCCCACCCACCCACCCACCAAGGGGTCGGCCTACCGAGGACTGAATGCTCTGCTGGATGGGGGACAGAAGTGTGCACAGTCACCGAGGCCTTTGTCTGGGGGGCTGGGGAGAGGGCTGTGACTCAGAGTCCCCAGATTCGTGCATAATCACACACAGGAATGTGCTGAGGGGGGACAAGGGCCTCCCAGCAGAGTGTCTGGTGAGGATGCTGATTTGGACTGGGGATCTGGGAAGGCTTCCTGGAGGAGGTGACATATAGCTGAGATTAGAACAGTGGGCTAATCATGAGCTAATAGGGTGGGGATGAGCATCTGAGGATGCAAAAGGAGCAGCACGTGCTGGGGCCCGTGGCAGAAGGAAGGTGGGCATGTCCTTAGGGGTGGGGAGAGGCCCAGTGTGGGCCTGGTGGCCTGAGGCCCCAGCTGTGGCCTTATCCTCAGAGTAGGGGTGCCATGGGAGAACTTCAAGCAGAGGGTGGATGGTCCTGTGCTCTGGGACAGCAGTGTGATGGGGGCCGGAGGCTGGAAGGATGTGCCAGAGGACGGAGGCTCAAACAAGGATGGGGCGTCAGAGGGCCACGGGGAGCAGGGGGCAGAGGCCCAGGGGACGGGCTGGGCTGCTGGGAACTCGGGGACCGCCATGCCCCTCGCCGGCCGTGGAGGGGGTACTCCGGTTGCCGGCATGTGAACGCCTGGGTCTCAGCTGGGAGGAGTCTCGGGGTCCAGCCTCAGAGGAGCCTTGGGGCCGAGTGGTGGATTCATGGGATGACGTGGGTGAGGACGAGGCCGTGGGTGAGCACAGATGGGCTGGGGCCTCGCCCAGCCCGCGGGCACCACCCAGGTGAGGGCAGGTGGTGATGGAGCCGTCCGTTACCAGGTGCACGGTCACTGGGAGCGCACCCCAAGGGCCTGGGAGGTGCGGTGACGGGTGCTTTGGTGTCCTGGGAGCCGTGACAGCTCAGAATGCCACCCAATGTCCCAGCCTCTCAGCCCAGTGGGAAATTCACAGGCCCCGTGTGAGCTGGGAGGGTCCAGGGCTGGGGCCCAACCTCCCGTGGAACCGCAGGGGCCCTGGCCCCTTCCCTTCCTGCCCGAGTGGCCGGGCCGCTGGCCAGCAGGGAACTTTCGGGGCTCACTCCGCGGGCAGCTCCGAGCGCTGGGTTTTTTGGTTTCTCTGAGTGGAGGGCACCCTTGGGGTGAGCCTCGTCCCCTATGAAACTTCCTGTGGCGCTGGTACAAATGACCTCACGCTGGGCATTTGGAAACACCAGAAATCTCTTCCTATGGTTCTGGAGGCCAGAAGCCCGAAGTCAAGGTGCCGGCAGGCTGTGCTGCCTCCGAGGCTCCAGGGGAGGGTCCTTCCTGCCTCTTCCAGCTCCTGGGGGCTCGGGTGCTCCCGGGCCTGTGGCCGCATCATGCAGCCTCTGCCTGCCCGGTGACGGGGGCCTCTCTGCTGTGACGCGTCCTCCCTGCCGTCCTCCATGAGGACCCTGTGAGGCGTTTATGGGCCACCTGCTTAGTGCAGCCTGATCTGCTCATCTCAAAGCCCTCATTCCATCACACTGGCCACACCTGTCCCATGGAAGGTGACGGCCCGGGTTCCATGGTCGGGGCCCCACTCGCCTGCTGCGTCCTCTGCCCACTCGGCAGGCCCGTATGGGTCCACGCACAGCGCGTGCGGGGAGGCCGTGCACGGAGGCCGTGCACACGGGCCAGCGGTGGCACCAGGGCCGCTTTCGGCTTCCCAAGGTGACTCTCCCGGGAAACAGAGACATCCGCGGGAAGCCAGCCCGGACCCGTGCTGCCCGGCTGTGGCGGCCACCCGCCCGGCCCCCCCGGGAGTGCTGACTCGGCGCCCAGTTCCCCAGCGGAGGCGTCCAGATCCCGTCTCCAGGGGCCACTTCCCTTCTGTGCCTCTTCTAGAACGGTATCCTCAAGGCGAATGCCCCAAACGGGCTTTTCTCTCTTCCAGTGCTAAATAAAGATGTACTTCTGCTTCTCAGCTGACTTCCGCGTTGCTTTCAGGGAACTCAGGTCCTCTGTGAGGGTTGTAATTATTTTGTTCCAGAGGAAACTAAGGCCTGTAATTCCGAGGCTGCTGCAGGGGCTCAGGCCCCGCCCCCTCCCCGCCGCGTCCCCAGGTGGGTGCGCCGGGACACAGGCCCGGTGTGTGCACTTGCTCTGCTGGGGTCCCTGGCGGGGGTGGGGACTTCTCCCAGCCGAGGGGAGGGGCTGCGGGCCCCCTGGGCTGGGCCTTCCAGGCCCCACGCTGCCCCTCCCACTGGTGAGATGCCTTAACCACTCTTGGCCAGGGGGCCCCACTGCCAGCTCCAAGTACTCGTCCCTGTTCCTGTCCTGCTTCTTCTCCACTGGACGGAGCACCCACCCCAAGGTAGGAGGTCCCAGAGCACACGGGGAGGGGCCTGAGCTCTGCACTCCTGCGCCGGGGGACTGGGGTGCGACCCCTCCGTGGGACGGTGGCCCCTCAGCTGCCCGTCGGGAGGCCCTTCTGTCCTGGTGACCTGATCAGGCCGTCCTGCAGTAACACTTTGGTCACCTTTAGATGAGCTCTTACAGAACATATGGACGCGCGTCTGAGTCGGTTCCCGGCACCCTCCGGAGTGACCAGCGTGTCTGCCATAAACATGGTGGACACCTCTCAGTCCAGGCGAATGTCCTTTTTGACGCCGGATCGTCCCGTTGTTGGCCGTGGGCTCATCGGCTCATGAGTCCGCCTGACGACCACGGGGTCTCTGGCAGCGGCCTTGCTTTCTGCCAGGACTCGGGATTCTGTGTCACCGTGGGCATTTCTGGCCCAGACCCAGGGTCAGCCGTTTCCCGAGGAGTCCCGGGTCCTCTCAAGGGGACTGGTACCCAGCCGCCATCCTGCCTGGGTGCGAGGGGTGCTGGCTGCCGGGGTCACACTGTTTCCAGGTGGTTTCTTAGCCTTTGCAGTTAACAGACCTTGGAATTTCTTTCAGGAGAAAAGAAATCATGACTTCACACTGATTTTTCTAATTCAGATTTTATACTTTTTCAACTTTTATATTCACATCTCTCTCTCCTTATACTGAAGATCTTGGTTCTTAGTGATGTTAACACAATAATTTTACACGTAAAAGTTAATATATGTAAAATATTTAATATATGTAGAGTCCATCACGTATGTAATCGTTTTAGACAGTGATGCCACCAGCTCCCCCGTGGGCCAGCGCCAAGCTTTGCTTGCAGGCCTTTGGTCCCCGGGCTCTGGCTTTTTGGGGGGCATGTCAAATTCCTGTTCCAGAGTTATCGAGACAGCGCCACCTCCGCGGTTGTCATGACCTCAGGCACCGTTAGGGTCACTGAGCTCCTTTTTTCGTTCCATCTGTAGAGATTCCTTTACATTTTGATTCCGTGCACATTTCCAGGGGGTCCCAAGTCAGCCTGAGCATATCGTCCCGGCCCCTCCGTGCTGACCTCCTCCTGCAGGCCTCCGTTCTGCTGTGTTCGCTTGTCCTTGTGTTTGCAACAGAAGCAGACACACAGGGCGCCCCTCCCCAGCTCTCGGCTCCGTGTGGCAGAGCTGCAGTGCCGCCCACTCTGTGCCCAGTGGCCACCTCCTCAGGGACTCTCTCCTGAGCACCCCGTGTATGGCTGTGACCCCAAGGAACCCCCAGAGCTTGGGATTCTCCATCCCAGCATCTCTGTTTGTCACGGCTCCTTCACAACCCACTCCTTCGTTCTTTGCTGTTCTGTTTGGGGTCTCCCCTTTGAGGAAGTAAGTTCCTGCACACCCAGACCCACGCGCTGCCTGGCACACGGTGACGCACACGGGGGCCCAGCCTGCTGGGGGCCTGGGCGCGGCCCTCCTCCGCCCTGCCCTGCGCCAGGTTCACGGCACTCTGCACGCCGGGCTGCATCGCCGGGAGGGGGCCCATGGTGCCCTGTCCCACAGGTGGGGAGACTGGCCCCCAGGGAGGCACAGCTAGGGTTTGCTCCCAGGCCAGGCTCTCCCCTGTGCATCCGGCAGCCCCTGGCCCTGGAGAGGCAGAGCCGGATGCCTGACGCGTGCCTGCCCCCCCGCCCTCAGCACCTCGGGCGAGGGGAGATGCTCCCCAGCTGTGGAGGAAGGGGCCTGGGAGGATGGCCTGGCTCCAGGCGGGTTGGCATCTGCCCCATCATGCCTCTGGGTTAAGAACCCTGAGCTGGAGGTGTCCACACCCGGTGTACACAGCAGATCTGGATGGAGGGGGCGGTGCTGGCTGGAAGGAGGGGCTGCCTGGGCCTCTGGAACAGGAGGTGGGCCACGTGTCCCCTCCACGTGTATCCTGGGGAAATGTGGGCCACGTGTCAACCCCTGTGTATCCTGGGGAAACGACGTCAACAACAGCTCTCCAGCGCTCCATCCCGGAGGATCTGGCGTTCCTGGGAACTGTCCCCTTCCCCTCCCTGTGTCTGGGCCAGGGTCTCACCAGACCTGGTGCAGTCTGGGTGTGGCTGAAGGGGCCGTGGGACCAGGCGGGTGACTGGGGAGCTGGGTGTTCGGGGCCATGGCCAGCAGACCTGGTGCAGTCTGGGTGTGGCTGAAGGGGCCGCAGGACCAGGCGGGTGACTGGGGAGCTGGGTGTTCGGGGCCATGGCCAGCGCCTTGCTGGGCTCCGCTGGGCTGAGGGAGCGGTTTTCCTGAGCCACGCTGGATGGCCCGGCGTGTGTGGCCTGTGGAAGGTCGTGCGCCTGCAGGGCTGCTGTGGGCCGCCTCCCCAGGTGGCGTCGGCGATGCCGGGCCGCAGCTGCCTCCCTTTGCTTCCTTCTTCTTGAGGGTCCACGGTTCCCACTTCCAGCGGTGGCTGCTTTGTTTCTTTCTCATGAGACGCTGATGTCACCGCATTTCGGAAGGCTGTGGTTTGGGGAACAGGCCTTGTCCGTCTGGTCTTGTGCTGTGCTCAGCCGGCCTGGTCATCATCCCGCAACCCAGGCCCTGTCGTGGAGGGAGGGGAGCCCCCCATCCCCCCATCTTCTCAACAGGCCCCCGGTCTGCAGGCAGCTTAGCCCCATGAGGGAGCTGAGCCCGGGGGGTCTGACCGTCCTGTGTGGGGAATGGGCTGGGGGCCGCTTTCCAGGCTGGAGACCCCAGGTTGGGATGTACTGCTGGGAGCCCAGGGTGGTGTGGCCTCTGCCCCACGGCGCCCTCACGGGGAGACCCGGCTCATGTGTTGCTCATGAGGTGCATCGGCGTGGCCCGTGCCGGAGGCGCCCTCCCGCTGGGTGCCCTGGTGCCTGGAAGCTTCCCGGTTAACCTGCTCCCGGCAGGCAGGAAGCGGTGGGGTCCGCCGGGGGGAGCCACGTTCGGTGCAGGTGGCGTTCGCCTCCCAGTTCGAGGGGCCTCCGGCATCGTGGCTCCCCCCTCGGACGCCTGGGCCCCCGGGCAGCTGTGGGACCGCGTGGCCTGCCCCTTCCGGTCAGGGCTGGGGCGGACCTGATCCCTGGGGTGCTGGCCACGGGAGGCAGGGGACACTGGGGCGTCGGGGGGCCCTTCCAGGACGCAGGCTAGAGGGAGTGCCACCTCCGGGGATGTGAGGGCTGGAGGGGCCTCCGGGCCAGGACTGCGCTGAGGGCACTGGGGCGATTCTTGGGGAGGGAGGAACTGGGGGGAAGGGGTGAGCAAGCCTTGCTGGGCAGTGGAGTTGGTTCCTAGCCAGTGGGTGTCTTCCTGCTGGGAAGAAAAATGAGCTTCTCTCTACAGGACCACCAGCGGCAGCCTTTTGCCGTGATCTGTGCCCTTCCCATAGTTTCTAAGTGGGGTGGGGGACAGCAGGGCTGGGGCGCTCTGGGGTCAGCTCAGGCTGTCGCGCTGAAGGGACAGGGACCACCCCTCCCAGAGGGAACGTCCCATTATTAAAGAGGGGCCGGTGTGTCCCAGGCAGAGGGCCTGTCTTAGTCTCAGGGGCATTTCCCTGGCTGATCAGTCAAGAAGAAAGTACAGAGAAAGTCCGGGTTTGTCCCCAGAGTTATGAGAACCCCTGCTGTCCTCACAGAGGCCTGGGCCAGCCTGAGGGCTTCCGAGAGCCACCCGCTGGCTGCCCCAGGCAGGGAGGTGGGACAGCCACGGAGTCAAGACCCATCCCCCTGGGGCCTCTGCATCGGCGTTTCTCCTGCCTGACCACCAGGGCTTTGGTCATCGCTGCTGTCCTACGTCCGCGTCCTCTCCGTGCCCCTCACCGCCCCTCCTTGCCTCTCCTGGTGACTCGGGGGGTGGGAGGGCCCGGCAGCCACCACAGGCAGTGAGGACGCTGCCTGGTGTCCGCCCTGTCCTGGGGCACCTGCAGAGAGGAGACTACCAGCATCAGGGAGGGCCTGTCCCCAGGACTGGCATTTGGAGAGGGTATTTGGCGGCTCAGAGAGTTTGGGCCGGAGGCGGTTGGGAATTCGAGAGCAAGGTCCAGGATTTTGTTTTATGGTTTCCGTCTTTTTCTTTGCCAAGGGCAGTGTCCCCGGAAACGTGCTGCTGGCAGACACTGCAGAGCCTTTCCTGGAGCCGACCGTCTGCCCAGCCCAGGGTGCTCCCGGAGGGGGGCAGCCTGTCTCAGGGACTGATGGGCAAGACAGACCCGGCTGTGGGTACTGGGCCCCGGGTCCGGGATCTGGTCCTGGGTTGCGGAGGGCTCTGGGCCCCGGGTCCGGGTGTGGCTTAGTGGGCGTCATGCCCAGAAGCTCCTGCTCTCAGGGGTGCCCTGAGACTGGGACCCGCCGCCCTGGGTGGACGAGTCTCCTTAGCGGGGCCTTAGCGCTACACCTCAGGACTTAGAGGTCTTTCCCGTGTTTGCTCAGGGTCCTGCCCGGGCCACATGCCTTGCATCCCTCTGGAGATGGGTCTGGAGCCCCCAGCCCTCTCCATCTGATGCTGAGCTGCTCCTTTGGACCGGCCTGGGGGCCGTGACCGAGCTCCGAGGCGATGGGGAAGCGTGGGGCGGGGGGGAGGGTGGCCAGAGAGGGGTCCCTCCTGCACACCCCAAGTCGGGC